ACAGCCCTACCAAGGTCTCTAGCATACCAGGTTATGAACAAAATTCTCAGTCTTTAAAAAAAGTATTAGCTATTTAATTAAATATTCTTGAAAACTTGTTTTGTACTTTTTTTGAGAAGAGGCACTAGTTCATCTTCTTCAATGTAACATGTCCCTTCAGGATGTTGGCACAATTTCCTTCCTGTTGTAGCTCTTAATAAACCCTGTACTGCCATTCATTTACAAACTATGATTAGCATTTTGCTCTTACCTTCAATCAGTCCCGTGTGTATCAAATTTTCCAAACTAACTTTCTCATTAATGGGGTTAAATTTTTTAACTATCTCTTTCTGATGTTAAGTTTACCTTGTTTTTTGTTTACTTTTCTCTAAAATTTTGTACGATTGAAAATGGATTTTCCTTTCTTAGGTCTTCCAGTCATAATTCATTTTTATTAATACTTACCCTGTTGAGGCATCTCATTATCCCAGCATTCAAATTTCTGTTGTATATTTAATTTCATTATTTTTTTCTTTTGATAATTTTTTTTTTTATGCAAAATCTATATTTTTGGGAAGGCTTTCCAGCATCAGATTTCAGTATCATACTTTTTGTCTGGTTCTGATGCTTTTTTACCATATTTGTTTTGGTTTTCTTTAAATTTGACCAGTGCTAATTTCACTTCAGATTTTAATATTTCTGGTCCTTAGACATTTCTATATATATTGCCTGTTGTCCTCTTTCATCATGGAAGAGTTCTCTGAGGTATTTGTTCCTTCTTTGAAATATTTTCATTCTCTAATATCAGTGTCCTGTCTATTTGATTTTATTTTGATATCATCCTGAGCATAAATATTGCATTTGTTGTTCCAGTGTCTTTAATAAACCTTCATTGTTCTTGTTCTATTTTTGGTTTAATTCTTATTCATATCTGATTTATCTGTAATGATTTTCAATGGGGTTCCTTTCTTGTACATTTTCACATTGAGCCATTATGTCTTTATTCTGTCAATGCAAAAATTTCATAATTTTATTTTTGTGTAGTTTGTTTCTATTAAATTTGACCAGTGCTAATTTCCATTTTACCTTTTCTGGTCATTCTATTTTTGCCTGTTGTCCTCTTTCATCATGGAAGAGTTTTCATTTTGTCATCATTTTTCCTCTTTTGTCCTTTTTTTTTATGCATCCTGCTGAAAGTTTTTTATCTTAATCTCTTTATTTTTCCCTGATTTATCTTTAATACCATTTTATTTTTGTCCATTTGTATTCTGTCTAAATTTCATAATTTCTTTGTGTAGTGTTCTATATTCTGTGCCATACCTTGTCATTCTTTTTTTGTCTCTAAGAATTTCATTTATCATCATTTCCTTTTTTTCTTTTTTTAAAGTTTTTCTTAATCTGTCCCACTCTTTCCATTTTTATTTTGTCCATTGTATCTATATTGCATATTGCTTTAGGTGCTGCCTTTGATCTCTTCAATTTCCATAGTTTCACTAAAAGTTTACATATTACTAGAAAGTAGTTACTCCTACAGTCAGAACTTTGGTATGTTTTGCAGTGTAAAACTGCATTTCTGAATCTCTTATTAATACTTATACAGTCAATTTATATTTTTGTTTCTCCTCCTCGGCTTCTTCATGTCCATATACATCTTGGGTGCTGTTGAAATAAGGTATTGGTTACTACTTGATCATTCATTGTGCATCATTGGACCCATTTTTCTCCACATTCATTATGGGTTCCTAGGCCAAATTTGCCAACTATTTGACCATCTCTCTACTTTGGTATTCAGGTCTTCCATGACAATTGTAATTTCTTGTAATTTGCATTGTCTAGCATACAGTGAAACCTTTCAATTTCATATTCTGTACTTGGTGCTATTGTTGCATATACAAGATGATGGATATGTTGAAAGGCTTTCCTTTCAGTTTAACTACAAGAACTCTTTCAGATAGTTGATAGTATCCCAAAAGACATTTCTTCATGTCTTGGTCTAATATTAGTCCTCCTCCTCTCTCCTTTTTCTCTCTGCTTGCATATATGATCCTGTTTGCCACTGATGAAATCTCGATTGTCCACCCACCTAATTTCACATACACCTAAAATATTAACATTTAACTTGTTCATTTCTTGCTTCTTATTTTCTAACTGGCCACATTGATTTATTGTTCTGACATTCCATGTCCTGAGAATTATTTTTTTTATTTGATATGAACAGTCACTGGATGATTGTCTGGTGACACCTATCACTCATATTTTCCCTTAGTGAGCAAGGGATCAATTTCAAGGAGTTTGACCCCCCTTTATGCCATTGTTTTTGCTAACAGTCTTTGGATGACAGGTAACACCTGTTGCACCTCTCCCTCCTTACTAAGTGAGGAGTTAATTCCAATAGACTTAACTTCTTTCATGACATTATATCTCATAATTTGATTGTTAAAAGCCATAAGTTTTCTTGTGATTGATTGCAGAGTGGTTTCTCATTGGCTTCTCCATGGTTATTTTATTGAGCCACCACTTCTAGTTTGTTAACTGTTGACCCATCAATAGTTTAATTAAAAGTAATTTTTTTCTATCTCTTCATGCCTATCAGTGCGAGGAAGGCATATCAATGAATATATTTATTTTCTTTTTTATGAGACATGTCAGTACCTTCAAAAAAATACAGTTCTAAACAACATTTTTTTTTAAATTCAAAGTAATTTCTTACCTTGACTTTGTGAAAGAGAAATATCTCTGTTCACCATTCACAGCCTAAAAGTTTCATAGCTGATAATCAGAAATAAAGTATAACATATTTAATATTATGCAGGATCACCACTTTCAAACAATTTAATAAGTGTTGGAAGCATCTGCGAAATATACTCTACCAAAATATGAGGTATTTTCTCTCATGTAAATTACATTTTAAAGTTGTTTTTCTTTTGTTTACATAAGAAAAATGTCTAATTATTTTTTCATTATGAATGAACAGTTATAAATCACTTGTTCTTAAAAAGTATTTAATGAACAATTATTGGTTAACTGCTTTCAGATATCCAGTCATTATTATAGTCAACACAAGAACAGACAATTAGGTTCTTAGAATTCCTGTCATTTTATATTATATTATTATGATATATATACACCAGGGACAGGCTTGTTTTAACAGTCACTATATCCATCATTATATGCAGTGTGTCATTCCACAGTAACATCAGAGTAAAAATCTATTAGTTACAGCACCAAATGTGGTATTACAGGAGGGTGGAAATATTGTAGTTTTATGTATATATATCCCTTTCTTGGGTTGTTTTCTCTTCCTTGCTTTTCATTTCTGGATGTAGCACTATGGCTAATTGCTACAGTTACTGATTTGGTAACATTCTGGACAGAATACACCTCCACCTATGTTGTGTTTAGATAAGATGTGATGAAGTCTTAAGCTCATGGTTGAAAAGTCTTAAGTCCAAACCAGTGATATATCACAGAAAACTTAGGGAGACAGATTCAGGAGATTGATGAGTTTTGGAAAAAGAGCGATGGATACTAGAATACCATAACCAAGATTTTAACAAAAGATGGTTTATTTGAGCTGTTGGTTATATCAGTGTTTCAAACTAACATTGCTGTTACGACAATTCTAATGCTTGACAGCAGTACACAATATTCTGAACTTTAAATCTCTTGGCTACAACTGTAATAATGATAGAAAAACAATCATCTGTATATGTTTACTCAGTGTTTACATTTTCAAATGTTGGGGGATAATCTAATAAACTGTTATTTTATTTTTTCATCTATTGCTTCACATTGTTCGTTCAGTCTGTTCTTTAGAAATTGCAAATATTCAGAACAAAGAATTTAAAAATATCTAAATTTGTTTTCCCATACTACAGAAACTTATGTAGCAACTCTTATACATCTTTAGCTGTATAAAAGATATTGCAGTTAGAACTCTTAATTCCTGGTTAGAATCTTAGACAACTTAAAATATAATGCATATTATGTAGTAGTCAACAAAGCGGTGTAGTGCAAATTTAATTGAAAGCAGTGACATAGGATTATTGATTAAAATTATATATGACTGCCAGTTGTTTCAATGGCCTATATTTTACTATATAACATTGCAAACTTCTTTTGATGGGATGCAAGTTTAAGTCATGTCTAAAACTGTTCATTTTTAATTTGTTTCAAACTCCCACAAACCAAAGAACTGACTAAAAATGTTGCAAAAAAAAGATGTAGGTATTAGTAAAATATATGTGGTACAATTCAAATTGCTGTAGAAAGCAAAATATAGTTATGATATACCTACATTACCATAAAATGCAAAAAGAATTTGTAATTCAAATAACTGTTAAATTGGCAGGAATAGGCTGATAAAAGGTGTGTAGTGGGGGTGCCATCAATTAGCCACAGATTGATTCTTGTCTGGAAAGCATGACTCTAACAGAGAGCTAAATTTATTTTTAAGGCCGATTAATTAAAAAATCTTATCAAGAAATCATTTTTTTTAATTGCTATGAAACAAAAACATTTTTTCAAATTTTATACAGGTTTTTTCTTAAAGGAATTTATCAAATTAAGTATCTTCATAATTGCATGCATTTTGAAAATTAATATCTTTGTCTTTTGCATTTCCTTTTTTCTCTTTGCCTTTTATCTAATGTTTTTTTTTACATTGTAGGAATTTAGAATTTAAAAAGCATCTTTAAATCAAATTCACATCTTATAATTTTGTAATACGTATTTGTGATATCATGTAGGGATATAGGTATTGCTACATGATATAGCAAGTTCTTCTGGTAGAGTATTTTAGTTTGTGTCTCATTTGAAGTTAACTCTTCATTCTGACTTCCTGTAATTTATGATCCAAAGAATATATTAGGCAAAAACCCCTCTACTATAAAGCAACTAAAAATGAATATACAAGTTTTAAAATGTATGAAATTACTATAATGCTAGCTTTATTTTTTATCATTACACTTTATATTGTTTGTCCCATGAGTAATTGTGTTCATTTTTTCTTTTATATACAGGCTGTTGAATATTATGCAGAATGGTCACTGTGCCCAAGCAATGTGGTGTTTCTGCGTGTTCAGACTGCAGTGTATGATCCATCTTTAATTGGAGACAAGCCCAAATGGTATGCACATCAATTGCAGCCCGTAGAGTTCAAAGTTTATGATAATAATTCCTCTCTTGGAGCAGCCCTTACCTCAGCACTGGAGACCCATAGTGATGAGAATCCAACTGGTAAGTTCCTTTGAACCTCTTTCTTAAAATGATATATGTTATTGGGTTTTAGAAAAAGCAACTGAATATGTATGCTTCTGTTTTCTCTCTTCCCAAAGCCATAAATCTAAATCCTCTTCAGTCTAGGATGACAATCTTACACACAGAGAACTGAAAGCATCTATTGGGCTGGTTTGATTAGTGATGTATTTGAACACCCTTGTATATCAAATAATGAATGTTAACCAATTTTCTTTGTCTTCAAGATTATTTGCTCTCAATAAAAAATATACTTATAAACACTAGTAAAAAATTGATCAGTTTCAAGCATTATACTTAAGTACTTGCTTAGCATCCTCACTCTCTTCCTCATAAGATACAATTTCTAGTAACAAGTTCCAATCTTTTTCTACGGGTGTATTCTTTTTTTTTTGGTGTTTAATTTGCACAAAACTATTGATTTACAGATTTTTCTTTTCTAAATTTTATTTTTAGCTGTGTGGTTCATGTAACAGTTAGTGACAAAGAAATTGGTGAGCAGAGTTCAAATTCCAACTGAGCTTGATATGTTTGTATTCACATAAATGCATTTGGGAAAGTTATGAATCCATCTCTTTTTCTTACTCCAGCTATGGGGTCTGATTGAGTTCTCTTGCCTTGAGACAGCAATCAGTCTAGAAGGAAAGCTGAATTCAAAACCAGCCTGAAAATGGATGCTTCATCATGCTATCTTGACCACTGCTGCTGTAGGTGCAGTGCATATGATGCCTCTATAACATTAATAGGTTACAGTACTCATAATGTAACATTTTATTTTGAGAATTTTAGTATAAGCAAGATTTGAATGTTAAAAACTACTACAGTGCCTTAATTAAAATGTCCAGTTGACCACAATGAGAAATCTGTGAGAGATTTGATCTTGAAATTATTTAATTTCTTCATTATATTTTCATATAATTTGGATTTATGTATTATTATTTTTATATTATTTGAATTTATGTATTATTATTATTATTATTATTCAAAATGTTTCAATTCATAATTCTCTTAAGCAATACAATATTCTTGTCATCAAAATACATAGAGACCTAAATACTGAAATATGGATATTTCCTAATATAGATTAGTTAAGTACAAATGGTGGGGATGAAGAGATTATATCATGTCAATCTTCTAAGTTGGGAGTGCCTGACTTCAAAATCAGCATAAAAAATTTTGTATCTTAACTGAGCTTGAAAACTAACCAGCAGTGTCAGTAATAAATAAACAGACCATCTCAGTCACTAAGACTTAAATATAACAAATTTTCTATGTAAATTTTCTTAAGTCTATAAATAATTTCATTTGTGAGTGTTTGCTTCTGCTGTCATAGAATGAAATACTGATGATTAAAGAATCCTTGTTCAAATACAAGAGATGTTTCTACAAAAAAACATGTTTATTCAATGCTGATGCCAATACTATACTTTACTAACAGCCCAATTTAAAAAAGAAAAGAATTCATTGATGGTCTCATTTGTCTTATAAGGCCAAATGCAACAATATCAGGTTTAATATGATGGCTTATATGTGTATGTAGGGGGTAAAGGCAAAAATTGCCTGATCACACTATCTTTTACTGCAGGCATCAGAGCATATCCATGACTGTACAGTTTGGCAATGGAAAGGTACTGCCTGAAAGATAAATTTCCAGAAATAGGATGTATATTTGTACCTAATCCTGAGACAAAACTGATTCCAGCCTAAACAGAAGAATCTATTGACAAAAAATATCTTCTATATAAATTAGGATTTAGAATTTGTAAGCTAAAAAAGTTTGATTGTTGCAGGCTGTTGTTCCGACTATATTTATAAAGAGGAAAACAAAATTCATGCCCCAATTTTGATATGAAGTTTCAATAAAACTTTAAAACATACTAGTGAAAATGACTATTTCCAAGAGGCCTTTTAAAGGGGAAATGAAAATTCTAATAAACGTTTTTGTGGTAATGAAGAAGAAAACCAAGTTTTACCTTGGAAAAGATTTTCTGTTCTTTGTGCTATCTGTTGAAAAAGAAAATTAGAATCAAGATTGAGGTAACTTTAGCAGGACATGAAATATGGTAATTATTTGTGCTTCAGTGCCAGTTTCATCTACTCATAAACTTTCTTATTCCAATACAATAAAAAAATGCTACTTTGGACTACAGTTGTTTTGGCTCTTCATGGTTGAAGGGGTAGTTCTGTGTTGTGGGTTGTGATGTGAATTTTTTTTACCCTCTTGCTTTACTTTCCTGCTATTTACTGACATTGAACTTGTGAGATTGATTTTGATCATTCGAATTATGACCTCAGATTTATGATATTTTTAATCTGAACTTCCTTATTACTATATACCTCAGTTTTATAATGTCTAAAGCAATAGTTCCCAATTTTGTGGGAGGCGGGGTAGTTCAAGAATAAGAAATTTTTTTCTATTGAGTCTGTGTGATAGTACATATGGTATATACAGTATGTATGTACATGTGTAATTATATATGTATATATATATATATATATATATATATATATATATATATATATATATATATATATATATATATATTATTGGTTTGTACAGAGACGATGGGCTTATGGTTATTAGGAACTCAGCTTCAAAATAGATAGAATTAGAAAGTTATTATATAAAGAATTTAAAAGCATGTGCTTAAAAATTACGGTTAGTACCAAATTAAAAAAAGTAGACTTCCTAGATATAACATTAGATCTAAATAAAAATACATACACACCTTATAAAAAACCCAACACCAATCCTTTATATATACATCCTAAATCAAATCACCCCCCATCTATAATTAAACATATACCGTTATCTATCAGTAAATGAATTAGTACAAATTCAGCAAATGACAAGATTTTCGATGAGCATATCAATTCCTATAATAAGGCTCTAAAAGATAGTGGCTACAAAAACCCAAAACTAACTTATATAAAAAATGAAAATGGAAAGCATAGAAAAAACAGATGTAGAAAGATTATTTGGTATACTCCCCCATAAACCAAATGGTAAAGAACAAATTAGGACATAAATTCCTCGCGTTAATAGTCAAGCATTTTCCTAGTGAAAGTAAACTAAGTACTATTTTCAATAAAAACACACTAAAATTGAGTTACAGCTGTACAAAAAACTTAGAAAAAATCATTAAGAACCATAATGCTAATATCTTAAATAAACACTTATACCAAAACCTAAAAAGTGTAGACAATGGAAAAATTAAGATAAAAACTGATGAAAATAAACAAAAACTATGTAACTGTAGAAACCCTCAAAATTGCCCACTACAAAATGTCACACTGAATCAATGCAATATCTCTTCGATTGAAAGTCCTGATAACATAAAAATATATATAGGTTGCACTAGCCATGAATTCATAAAAATGATTCAACCAACATCAAACTTCATTTAGAATAAATAGATATAAAAATCAAACATCTCTCAAAAATATTTCTGGCATCTAAAAGAATCAAATAAAACACCTACAGTAAAATGGAAGTTAATAAGAAAAAGCTAGAATCTGTAGGTCATTAAACGACCTTTGTCCTCTATGCATACATGAGAAACTATATATTACTAAGTTTATAAAAAATAAAAATTTACTGAATCAGAGAAATGAAATAGCTATTATATGCCGTCATTGTCAAAAATTTTCCTTAAATAATATTTAAAAAAAAAAAAAAAAGTCTATTGGAATAACAGTGAAAATATTTTAAACTTATATTTAAAATTTTAAAATTTAAAATTGTAGTTAAAACGAATTCAAACCTAAGCATCTTTTAAAAAAAATGTAGTTAAATAAAATGTATGCTAACCGAAACACCTCTATAATAAAAGGACTACAGGCACTTAAATGAATCCAATAAAACACCTACTGAAAAATGAAGTTATAACAAAAGCTAGATGATGTAGGGTTGTGTATGACCCATGTCCTTTGTACATACATATGAAACTTTAGTACTTAGGTTATATATATTTAAAATAAATAAATTAATTAATAAAGTTTACTAAATCTGAGAAATGACTTAGCTCGTTTTGTAGTAAGTGCCATAAATATTACTTAAATAATACTTAATTATAAAAGTTTAAAAATCGTAATTTACATATACTTTGATATGGAAAAATAATTTTACTTACTATGAGTAATTTTCCTTCTGTTATAAAGTAATATAGTCTATTAAAACTAACAATGAAAATATTTTAAAGTTGTAATTTTAAAATTGTAGTTAAATAAAATGAATTCTAACCTAAACTTCTTTTAATTAGTACTACACGCACTTAAAAGAATCCAATAAAAACACCTATAGTAAAATAAAATAAAAATAAAATTAATATGAAATGCCATAAGATGTAAGCTTTTGAATGACCCATGTCCTTTGTACTTACATGAGAAACAATATATTACTAGGTTTATATATAAAATAAAAGTTTACTAAATCAGTGAAATTAAGTAAACATTTTTGCCGTCAGTCATAAATTTTTAATAAAAAAAAAAAAATATACTTAAACTTGATGTTAAAATAATCCTACATAATATAATGGAGTCTAATACATTTAACTGTTCTAAAAAAAAGAATATAGTATAATAAAATTAAAAATGAGAATATTTCAAATCGTAGTTAAATAAAAAAAGTATTATGATCTGAACACCCAAAATCTTTAAATTTATAAATAGAAAAAAAAATGCTATAAAATTTTTTTACCGTTAACAATAATTTTTTTTAAAATCCAGACGACATGCATTGAACGGATGTCAGTTTTCATTGAAAATACATCCCTACCCTTACCAAATTGTAGCTAATAACTGATACAATGATACTGACATAAGGAATACCTAGATATCCCTTGTCCAATTCAAGTAGAATATTCTGTAACCATGGAAACGTGATTTTAGCTGTGTCTTTAAAACCCAGTAATTTTTAAAAAAAATACTCCAAAATTCGCTTGAGGATGAAATGGAACTAATGCTTTAATTTAATTGCAAAATTAAATTCAGGGCTTTTAGCTTCTATTTTGAAACATGGTTAGAACTGTGTAGCGGAAAAAACATATTTTAAATCAATTAATTTATAATATTATGCTCTGTAAATTTACATTGAGCACTATTTTGTAAAAATAAAAATATCTATAAGAACACCAGATTATATATCTTACTGTTCTTTCTTTTTATTTATATACATATATATATTAGTAACAATATTTTTATAAATATTTTAAAATTCTAAAATTAAATGATAATATTATTGCATGTATTAATTTCTTAAGGAAAGTTAAGTTAATGACCTTTTAAGTTTCCTCCATGTGAATAGGAATTCACTTTTTGAATAAGAATTATATGTCACAGTGTGGGGACATAAAAATTTTAGAGATGTTTAGGTGGGGCATGGCCAAAAAAAAGGCCTTGATGATAATAATGAGTAGATCATTTTTTTTAAATATATTTTTTTCAGCAAACAATAATAAGCACTTTATTTGGAAAAGTTCAAGATTTCAATTGATTTTCTTTCTGGCAATCCTGATCATGTTTTCATACCATTTCAAAATTGTAATTGATTTATAGTTTTTTCAATTACAATGATGGTTTTTTATGATTGCTCTTTCAAATGTAATGATTTCTACATTTACAACATTCATTGTTTCCTTGTAGATGAGAGCGGAAGTGACAGTGATGGAGCAGACAGCACTAGTTCTTCATATTCCTCTTTGAGTGACTTTGTAACTGACATGGTTAACAGTGAAATTGATGGCGATACTCCAAGTAAGTACTACCGCCGATAATACTCAATCAATATTTACATTTTTTTTTATTCTTCACCCAATACAAGACCCAAAGAGCCCCTTATTGTAGAGAGTTACAAAATAAGTTTATTGTAAGGGCATAGAAGGATGGAGCAAGAGTTGCATATTATGAGGATATGTAGGATAGATAATACTTGACCCTAGACTTGAAGAAGTTAAGATTGTAGTGATTGAGGAAGCATCCTCTTGGGAGTCTGTTCCACAATGCATCAGTTCCAAGGGAGAAAATGTTTGAGTGGTACTTCCTCCTTACCAATGAAGGGAAAGAGAATGAGTTCACTCAGTAGTATGCCAGGACCTAGATGTAAACTGGTGGAACCAAGCTGCCATGAAAATAGCAATAGAGTAGCAATGTTTCATCTGTGGGAAAACAGTTGTAGAGTGGAAAACAGTTGATCACCCATAAGGTCGTGCAAATACTTTTAAACTTTGTCATGGCTGGAAAGTGAGCATCTGCAGCTCAGATGTATCAACAATACTTCACTTTTGGCTCTAAATGTGCAGTTCATATAACTGCTAGCAATGCCGAAAATGGAATCAGCAAGACAAGTTCAAATTCCAAGCTAGTCTGTTGCATTCACTTTCACACCAATTCCTTTGAAAAAAAAATCCTGAATCCTTCTCTCTCTCTTAAATATCAGGGTAGATGGGACTCTCTTTGTCTTGGGTGGCAGCCAGCCTAAGAGAAGGAAAATGTTTAATTCTAAAGCACATGGAGATGACAGTAGGAAACTACATCGTTATCTTTGAGAGGAGGTCACAGCAATTCACAGATAATAAAGAAATAGAATCTGTGGAGAGCCATCATTTCCTATATATTGAAAAGCACAACATTAAAAAAAATTAATCTACCGACATATTTACTGTCTTCTCTTGCAAATAAAAAATACTGCAGAGTTACTCTGAAAGAGTTTTTCTTATAATGAGTGTTACTTATCCAGAGCTTACTCTGTTGTCATTAACATTATCTTCTCTTATTCCAGAATAAATAAATAAATACACACACATACATATATATATATATATATATATATATATATATATATATATATATATATATATATATATATATATTATTTATTTAAAAAATATGATTCCAATGCTACATAAGAGTTCTCATGTTTCAAAACAAGAGCCGAAAACTTCAATATAATTATTTGAATTAAATTGAATTAAAGTACCAAGCTCTGTTCCATTTTCAAGCGAAATATTTTTTGGAATAACTAATTCCTGAAATTTACACGTTTTATAAGCATATTCATTATTAAAATTAAAATTACTATGGTAACGGCTAGAGCAATTATTTAAAGAAAAGGGACATAATTTGAATCAATATCTCAGTTACATTCAAAGACGTAAAGTCAGGGTAAGGTTGGGATGTCTAAATTTAAAGCGGAAGATGACATCGTCTAGTCTGGTTAAGTGTCTATGGAGATTTATTTATTTTTTTTTTTTTTTTTTTTTGAAAGGGTTTTGTGTATATAAAAAAACTGTCATAATTCGATAACATTTGTATTTTTGATGACTTCATAAAGGTTTATCTTTTTTTTGGGGGGGTAGGGCATTTAAACTATTTATTTAGACTATGTAGTTTAAAATTTGTATTTATTATTTTATTGTTTGTTTGTTTTTTATGCTAATTATTTCAATATGAAAATTGTTTAATAAATTTTTATTATTTAGAAACTTGATAATGTGTAGTTTTTCATGTAGGCATAAAGGGCATGGGTCATCCCAAGTTTTACAAGTTCTAGTTTTGTTTATAATTTTCCATTTTACTTTTGGTGTTTTATTCATTTCCTTCAAATGCCAAAAATATTTAGATAGAGATGTCTGATTTCTTTTATTTATATTATTGTTATATTGTTGAAGGAGCACTTATGCTGCCTCCATCTGGTTTTAAATTCATTCTTCGTAGACCCAATGTATATCATATTAGTATTAGGACTCTCAATGGATGAGATAGTACATTGGTATACCACAGATTTATTTTCCAATGGGCAGTCTTCTGGGTTTCTACAATCACATAATTTTTCACTATTTTTGTTTAATTTAAGTGTAGGGTTTTTATTAATACTATTCTGGCATGGGGGTTTATTCAGGATTTTATTATTGTGTTTTTTATTATACTTTCTAGATTTTCAGTGCAACTGTAACTTAATTTTAGGGTGTTTTTTATTAAATATTTTACTAAGTCTACTATAAGTTTTTTTTTTTTCCCGGAGTCAATCCTCCAGATCTACAAATCAACAATTCGGCCTTGCATGGAGTATTGCTGCCATATATGGTCTGGTACCCCTTCTGTTTGCCTCGGGGTTCTTGATAGGCTCCAGAGGCGGATATGCAATGTAGTTGGCCCTGCCCTGGCGTCTCGTCTACAGTCACTTTCTCACAGACGCACCGTCGCCTCCCTCTGTTCTACAAATACTTTCATGGAAATTGCTCCGAGGAGCTGCATTCGCTGGTTCCCAGACGTCATGAGTTCCAGCGCCTTACGAGGCTGGCATCCTGCTCTCACCCCTTCACTATCGAAACTCCTAAATGTAGCCGTCTCTTAAACTCTAATAGCTTCATGTCTCGCACCTCTCGTCTGTGGAACTCCCTTCCCTATTCCTGTGAGCTATAATCTCCAGCTATTCAAGTGTAATGTCAATCGACATCTCCAGTTGCCTTGATCTATCCACTACCCTCATCCTTTCTTCTATCACTCCTATCTGATCTTGCTCTAAATTTTCTGTAACCCCTTGCATCCTAGTGGCTTCCCGCCTTGCTTGGGGTGAAATGCTTAAAAAAAAAAAAAAAGTAGGAAAGTGTTTTTCAATTAAAGCTAGGAATTTCTGTCCTAGCTTAATACTAACCATTTGGTTGAACGGAGGGGTATACCAAATGATTTTTCTTTTCCTGTTTTTCTTCTGGTTAGTACAGTTGTTTCTATAATTGATGTTAGCATTTTTGTATCCACTATTTTTTAGGGCTGCGTTATAAAAATTACTGTGTTGTTGGAATATTTCTTTATTAGCAGAGTTAATGCTGATTTTATACTCTATTGATGAGGGTTATTGTTTAATTATGGATGGAGGGTGGTTTGACTTAGGGTGTATATATAAGGTGTTAGTATTAGGTTTTCTATAAGGTAGGTATGTGTTGTTTGTTAAATCTAGAGTTATGTTGAGGAAGTTTACCCTTTTTAATTTAGTACAGACTGTTGTTTTTTTTTTGCTTTTATATATATATATATATATATATATATATATATATATATATATATATATATATATATATATATATATATATATATATATACTCACACACACAGAGGATTTATCTGATTTGTCAGGTACAATATTGGTAAATTCATTTTAGGATGAATAGTCAATGTTTAAAATTCCACAAGTTTTCCAAACAAAACATTTTCACTTTTCCAATAAATTTTTCCCTCTACTTCTATCCAATTTAAACCATCAATGTAACAACTTTGAGCACACATTCTAAAAGCATATGTTATTCTGTATGACAAGGTTTCTTTCATCATTTTTGGGGGCTTTTAACTTTTCATATATCTTTTATCCAACCATTAAGCATTGTAAGTTTCATGATTTTATTTTTACATATTTAATTAAGCATTTTCTAGAATGCATGTTTTCATTTCCAATAATATAGGAGGTAACAGTCTATGAATAGCATATTCTGTTATGAATGTTAACTATTGATTCAAGATGCTTTAATAATAGAGAATTATTCTCTGAATATAAAAGCTCATTATAAAGAATGCTTGAAAAATATAATTTAAATAAATCAGAAGAAATAAAAAAAGTATTAGTAATTGATTAATTTTTTTAATCATTGAGGACATCTATTTTAAAAAGTCTTCAATTATATTTAATATTTTCAAAAACATCTTAGTTCCTACAAAGAAAATGTTTCGTATGTATGTGTGTGTTCAAGTAACAAAATTGTTAAGCTATAATTCTCTAAATCATTAATAAATTTGCAAAAATATGAATAACAGTTTTATTCCTAAAAAATTTATCATTCATCAGACAATCTGGAAAATTTTGAGCATGGATCAGAAACCTTTTTGCTTAAATAATAATGCAGATAAATACCATAAAAATGCATAAAAAAAGGAATTAAACATTTAATTAATTATTTAGTTACATTTAGCCCCAAAATAATGAATAGTTGTAGTTGAAAAGGCGTGAAATTGAAAAAAAATCTTCTTTAATTACCCAAAGAAAAGAATAGAAAAATGTTTAATAATGTTAATCTTGCCACTGATGAAAAGGTGCATTACAAATTATAGGTAAGAAGGTAGCAGAAAAAGTCGGAAGCAAGGAATTATGTTGTCATATTGGGATGACATTTTTTTGGTGGACAGCCCATAAACAGACCAGAGATACGTAGGAGAGGACGGTAAACTTACCATGACAACTAGCTGGATGAATTGACAAATATAAAGAGACAGTTGAATGATGTACATTACTTCTGTGTTCATAGAAAGGATAAAGTAACTGAGGTTAACTTTGATTCTTTCATTCTTGAGCACAAGCTACAACAGTACATGCTAGAAAATCATTTGTACTTAACCAAGGAAACAAGTATGTAATCAAAGAAGTCGATTTCATTGCAATTTATTTCATTTAAGGTATTTTTTAAATCTATTAAATGACACAGTCATGTTTTCTAAGTTCGCCATTCAACCTTTTTAGGTGTATAGATAATTCATATGGCTCTGATATAAGCTTCTTTATTCATATTTCAAGATATTAACTACAACTAAGTTATCTCCCACCATAAAAAAAAAAACTTTGATTTGAATATTATATTTGATTCCATCTAGCAAGAGAAAATTAAAACTGTTAGATGGGATATCAGTTGTTACTGTGATTTTATCCATGTTCTCTATTTGGGCCAATTCTAAACAAGTTTCTTGTGAAGATTATGAAATTCTAAAGTTTGGGGAAAAAGGTGAGTTTTATCATGATTGTCCTTTGGATCCAAAGAAGACTTTGTTTTGCAATTCATCAGTGGATATGGAGATGACTCTGAAAAACAAAATCTGGATACACAGAGTCTTGAGTAGTGGTGATACTGGAAGTTAGTAGTTGTCACTAATTCCAAAGTTGCATGGTGGCTCTGTTCTCTTTGACTAATGAGTTTTAAAATACAGTACCTTCATCTTTATTGTTTTAGACAATGTATCATCTGGTCCCTTCTCCAATTCTTTATTGTACAGATTTATTTATTAGGCTTGTTTTGCTTCTAATCTATTGTATAGTTTTTTCCTGTTGTCATGAAACTAGGCCTTATCAACAAATAAGAGGCTAAAAACAAATTATAAAATATTATCAACAATCCATCACAATGCTTCAGGCAAAAGTATACCTCAGCTTTTTACGAAAGGTGTTGTTTTTGTGTTTTCTAGTCTTTGTACCAGAGAACCAAATTCTGGCTGTTGATCATTCAAAGATATTCACACCTCCGAGCAAACTGCATGTGCCAGAAACAACTGTTGCTGCAAGTGAATCAACTTCAGCCACAGCTGAAAGTGATGCAGATTCCTCAGCTTCATCCAGTCCTACTTACAGTCAGGATGTTCCGCCATCTTTTGCTGTAGACCAGAAAGGATCTGTAAGTACATTCCATCTTTTATTTTAAATGTTTCTTCTTTCTCTAGTACAAATTCAGGTATCATATATGATATCTCATATGAATTATAACATTTCTTATATGGAATTAGGAGTATAAATTATCCACAATATCTTTTAGCCATCAAAAAAAAAAGTCAAATTCATATACCAAAATTGATTATATATTTGGTATTTAGGTTTGCATGATAGTTGAGAAAGATGCATATCTCCCTCCAGGAGTAACTATTGGTACTCAAGTCAACATGTAAAAAGAAAGTTTCAAATGCTGATTTTCAAGGCAAGCAAGCCCTCTCCTAGTTGAAAGATTTGTACCATACAATCTTCTCATCCCATTTGGCTTAGTATTGAAGTAAGATAATTTGAGTTGATATTTATATATTTTGTATTTTAGTTTTGATTAATTTTCTTCTATCTTTTTGTTTTTTCATAGTATCTAATCCTATGAGAAATGTTTAAAAAAGATATTTTCTTGATATCAATTGCCTCTTGGATTCTTCAAAACTGATTTGAAGTAATTTGTTCTTTTTATATTAGGTACCAGATTACTTCCAATTTGATTCTGGAAATACATCAAAACACTCAAGCAGGTAAAAAAAAATCTTTATTTCTTCACTTATTTGGGTGTGTTTTTGCATAAAAATACATTTGACTAATAGATAAGCTTTCAGATTGAGATAACTCATTTACATATGAGGTCACAAAGACAGCTATTACCCATGAGGCAGTTGAATGCCTGCTACTTCCCGTTAATCAGTAACACTACACTACAACGGTGTTACCGATATCTAATGAACTAAATGAACAATTATCACTTGATAATCATGAATGCACACAAATGTGGATTATGATACCAGCAGCTAATGCTAGAACAAAAAAGCTAAAGGATTTAATTTCATTTGGAAGAGAAAACCAAATAACTGATCTCTTGTTGGTCACTGCTTGTTGTGAGGCCATCATAAAATTATCAACAATTGCACACCCAAGACAGTTGAAGGAAATGACGTTTGACAATATAAGTCAACTAATATTAAAAAACATAAAACCCAAGAAAAAACTAATGCAGAGAGAGCTAAGTTTATGAATATTTCTCAAAAAATGAATGAACCAGTTATTGAATGTTATTCACTTAAAACAGGTTTTACTAGATATTGTGAATTTTAGAAACTGGGATCAATCTAAATGAAATTGGTAAATGACCTTCAAAATGAGGAGTATCAGCAAATGACTCTAATGCATTTACAACTTGGAAAGTTGTCACTAGAACAGTGTGTTGAATTTGTTCAGCAACAATGATTAATTGGAAAATTTAATAAAACAAAATTTACAGATCTGGACTAATATGTGATAAAGAAAAAAGATTAATGTGTACTTTTCGTGGATATCAACGTCAAACCAAAAAACAGAAATGTTCAGCATATAAAAAAATGTGAAAAATGTGAAAAATGAATCATTTTAAATATGTGTAAATCCAAAAAGAAAATTGTAGAGATGATCCAAGAAAATGAAGAGGAAATTGTACGGATATCTTTTCATAGAAAAAGGGTTATTAAAAGCAATGTTTTATTGGACATGTAACTAGATACAAAAAAGTGAACTGACATTGATACCCATAAATCTTTTGAAGAAATTAGGAAAACCAAGGTTAAAGATAAGCCTTGTCCAATTGAATCAATTTGACAGATCCATGGTAAAAACATTAAGCTATTTTGAAGCCTATGTGGAACTAAAAAATAAGTTTGATGCATTGCCAATTATCATGGCAAACTGAAAAGAATCATGGTCTAATAGGAAATGATGTATTGAACATAAACTTGACAAAATTAGTAAACAAAGTCAGGACAGAAGAAATAGGAATGTTAAAAAACTATGATGCAAAGTAAAGACTAAAGGAAAACATATCCTGCTTCATATTTTGAAGCACAAATTGTGCCAGTCCATCTACTACTAATAGTTGTGGAAAAACTGAAAACATTTACTGGAACAAGATCAACTTGAACAAGTTCTGTCAGAAGGGAGCAAATTGGCCTCCTCCATTAGTATTTTTAAGAAAGAAGGATGGTGATCTACACATTTGTAGTGACTACAAAATATGTGTAAAGCACAAAATATGTGCAGACTCATATCCTATCCCCAATGTAGGTATGAAAACATTCTCTAAAATTGTCAAAAGCTGAATTGAACTAAAATATTAAGGAGGCATTGGCCATAATATGGATAACAAATAGAGCTTGTCAGTTTTTGATTTGAAAGAAATTCCTATTAATGTCCAACCATAGACCTTTATAATTCATATTTAATTCTAGGAAGGAACTTCTTAAGGTAATATCTTCTAGAATTCTAAGATGGACCTTAATGTTAATGGCATTTGACTTCAGTATTGAGTATATGAAAGGCGATACCATTCTGCATGCAGACACTTTGTTGATATTGAGGTTTATTATTTTTGAAAGTGAGAAAAAAATTCAAAGATACTTTCTTACACTGGGTCAAAACTGATAGACAAATTAACTGAGGATATAAAATGAGAAACCATATTGAACAGTATATTGTTCAAGATAAAAAATGATAAGTGGAATAATTGCTCACAGAAAGGCATTTTTAAAAAAGTTAAACACAAGTTAACTGTACAGAAGCATGTAATTTGTAATGGAGGCTTAGTGGTTCCACCAGCAATCCAGAGGAGCAAAATTATAAGTGTACATGACAATGTTCATTGTAGAATAACATCTGCAAAGAAGATTAAGGCTAAAGGCATGGTGGCTCAGCTATTCTACAGATGTAGAAGAATACGTAAAAAGGTGTAAAATGTGCAATGACAGAAGAAAATTTAGACAGACAAAAACACATACATGGCCTAAAGAATCCCAACCTTGGGACAGAGTACACTTGGATCATGCCCATGTTAATGGAGTGGTATTATTACTAATACTGATAGATTCGTATTCAAGCCAACCAGAAGTAATACAGGTCTCCAACAAAAAGAAGTTTGACCGTGAGGCAAGAATTAAGGATCATATTTTCAAGAAATAGAATTCTGACAATGTCCTAGAGTTGTGTGATGAGGAACTATGCCAATGGTTGAACAAAATAAACATGAATATAAAAAAACATAAATATATATGAACATATACGCTCCCATATTATCAAGAATCAAACAGATTAGCAGAAAGGTTGGTGCAAACTATAAAAAACGGATTGAAAATATGTGTACAATGGAAAGAAATGATTTGTCCCGAGATTGTTTATAAATTATGGGACATTACCACATGCTAGAAGATCAAAATGTCCATTTACCCTCATGGGTAGACAAATTAGAGCTCCATTGACCATATCCTATGCTACTAATGAAAAGCTATGGTATAAGAATAATGAATCTAATCTACAAGAGGCAAGATTCATAATGCAAAGTGAATAGAAAACTATGATAATAGAAAAAAATGGAGATGGGATATTAGCACATGCAGACCAACTCAGATTACAACATGATAGCAATGAAGAAATGTATTGTGAGCCTGAAAGTAATGAAGACAAAAGTGTCACATAAAGACAAACTAGACAGTGACATTGAGAATAATGTAGACTCTGAAGATGAACAAGGAGAATTGTTGGAGGAACAATCCTATGAAAAAATATCAAGATCTTCCATATCTAGACACTCTCTTAGGAAGAGGGAGGGAGATAGTGAGGAAACAAAAGCTCCCAGAAGAAGTACCAGGGAAAATAAGGGGATAAAACCTCTTTGGTACAGGGAGATGAGATGACTCATTTACATATGAAGTCATAAAGATTGTAAGTAGCTACAGCTATTAACCATGAGGCAGTTGAGTGCATACTATTTTCTGTGGATCAGTAACACTACACTACACAGATTAAATTCAGAACACACTTGTAATTCTTCTTCCTACATCTACCACCTTGGACAGTGATTTGATGACTACTATGTAATCTATGCCACTTTTCATTCACTTGTTGTAGAAAATCTTAATTTTCCCATGATTCTGCGATAAAATATTTTCATTATTCTATACATTTTTCATCTCATTTCTTTTTTTTTTCTGTCATGTTTTTTCATTTAAGCTGTATATAAATACCTTAAAACTTTAACATTTAAAAAATTGTTTATGCCAAATAAATACTATATTTCCTTCCATATATTGTTTTATCAAAAACAAAAATCTTTCTGTATGTTGTTTTATTAAAAAAAAAAAGTCTCTTTCCAAAATCACGCTATGTCTTACACCTCCATGGTTGGGTGACTGTTAATGGACTAAAATCTAAAAACTCCTGTTTTACACACTTATTCACCACAGAATTATATATGTATGATTATAAATGGTAATAATGCTAAAATATAAAAAAAAGGAAAAATAAGGATGAGATATCAGTTGGCTATTATTAGTTTATTCTTTAGCATTCTTTGCCTAATTGAATATGAATTTTATATCATTAAATATAGTAACTGAAATAAAACTAGTTAAAATACTTGTAATGGTGAAAAGACTTAATATCTTTAAACAACATAAGAGTATTAGCCATAAAAAAATACTTTATTGACAGTGCTTAATAGATTTGCCTAATTCTAATAATTATAAGTGTTTCTGTGAGTATTACAAATTTAAGAAAAAACTTTGCATAAAATCCTTTATAACCTCAGAAGTATTAAAAATTGTTGCTCAAATACACAATACATTAGGGAACTTAATTGCCTTTCTCTGTTCTCTTTATTTACTAATAACAACAACAGCAGCAGCTTTACAGGAACTATGGCTGCAACCAGTGTTAATAGCCCGAGCTCAGCCCAAACTCCACCGTCACAGGTGTCGTCTGTGGGAAGCCCTCAGGTGCCTGTCTCCCCTGCACTGAAACGAGATGGCAGTGAAAAGAAAATCAAGCCATACTCACTACCCCTCTCTGACCGAGCACATTCGACAGATTCACCAGGACCCCCTCCTCGCCCTACTACTCAGCCTGGTCAGGGACCTGGTCAAAGACATGGTCTGGGTACTATTCCAAGTGCTCCAAAAAGGCCTCCAAAACTCAAAGTAAGTATTTGAAAATTTTCAAGCATTTTTGTATGGTTTTGAAAAAAAGTAGTCTTTCAGAAGGCATTAGCAAAATTCTACTATAAACAAAAAGAAAGAAGTTGGAAAAGCCATGCTGAAGAATCCTTAAAGTTTTGTTCAGTCTTTTTTTATTTTTATGATCCTTTACCAAAATTCATTGTTGCTGGTCTGAAAACAGAAATGCCAAATATTGTTTTGTAAAGTACTTCTGATTTTACTGATTTTTTTTAGTAAAAAATAAACAGCCCAAATAAATATGGTTATTAACTATGACTGGAATCATTTTTGTTTTAAAACTGAAACATTTTCTAATCTCTGATGCTTGTTACTTTTTAATTTCCATTTTTCCTTGATAAATATGTTTAAGGAGAGGCAGAAAAGTTCTCAACCTTCCTCAAATCTGACTAATCCTCAGATTTTGTTATGGTTTTCTTAGTAGAACTTGAGAAATCTTCATTACTCCTCCACCATATATACACTCCCCCTCCAAAAGAATTAGAACGGCAATTCCTTTGTTTTTGTTGTTCACTGAAGACATTTGAGTTTAATATCAAAAGATGAATATAAGACAAGAGTTCAGAATTACAGCTTTTATTTCTTTACATTTAGATGTGTTAAATAGCTTAGTAGATACCACCATATGTATTATATCACCCCATTTTTAAGGGAGCAAAAGTAAATGAACAGATAGTCTTAAATAACATTTAATATTTGGTTGTGTAACTCTTGCTTGCAATAACTACATGAAGCCTGTGACCCACTGACATCACCAAACTGTTGCATTCTTCATTTATGATGTCTTCCCAGACTTTTAATGCAGTTATTTTCAGTTCTTTTTCTGTTTCTTCCTTCAGGAGATAAAATACATGCCCTACTGGGTTAAGTATCCAAAAACCCTAAAAACCCAACTATCCCAAGAAAAAGATTACACGTCTTAGAAAAACTTGCAATTAAAATAATTTTTAAAAATTGCAATTTTCATTTCATTAATAATTGCTAAAACATGAATAAATTGAAAAATTTTTAAATTAAATTTCTAGACATTAGGTATCTTTATTTATGTATATAAAATATCAAGTGTACTTGTATATTTTTGTCTGCAACTTTTTGCTGTATTAGTTGTTATCCCATTCACTAGTGGTGTCAGGTGGCAGTGTCTTTATTATATTAGGTTTAGGAAAGTACAACAAAGGTAATGTGAAATCCTCATAATAAAAAGCACTTAAAATATCAATTTCATTTACATGTTCATTTTTGACAACATGAGTTAAAAAGTTTTAAATTATCATTTTGGTCATTATTTAAATGTTAACATTAAATATTTGACTTTTTAAAAACATAACCCGGTAAATTAGGTCAATATCTGAATGATAACAAAATACAATGATATTCAATCAATAACTATTTCACTATTCTGCTGGATCTTGCATAGTAATTCCCATTTCTTTCTGAGCTTATTACAATTCAGTTCATATAAGCATGGATTACATTATACTGTGGGAGTGGAGGAGATTAAGAGAGAAGTGTGAATGTATTACTGACTGGAATTAAATGTATGAGAATTCACCAGACAGTATAATGTTATATTCTGCTTCAACTTAATTCTCTTTCTGATTCACTGCACATCAAAACTTGTCTACCAGTTGTGAACACTACAAAAACAAAATTAAAAATACAAAAGTCAGTCTCTGCCCAGGAGCTCTAAGCATCACATCTAGCTTGGAAAATCTCCCTCCCAAAAATATAAAATACAATTTAAACATTGGAGCCAATCATGAATATTTCCAATAAAGCAAAAGTATGACAAAAAAATGGTGAGTCATGTATCCACCCTGAATTTTTAAAAGGATCCACTCACAACACTCAAGGCAGCAAGCAGGCAGCAAGCAGGCAGGCAGTCACAAGATTCACCAGTGGCTAAAGGTCAACCAACCCAACCCAAACTTCAACACTGGGTACACTGCCAACTCCCCCATCCTCCAAGTCATTTCCCTTGCCCACAAAGAAACATCCCACTTTGATCCTTTATTATTAATACAGAGAATTTTAGTTTAACATATTTTGTTACATTTTCTTTATGCCTCACTGGCAGTATTTTGTTATTTTTGTTTATTCTTTTGTCACCATACACAGTATATGACAATAATTTTTCTGGTACAATGAGTCTGAAGCACTTTATAAATGTTAAAGTATAAAGTAACTCTGAAAAACATGCTTGTAATTTATCAATAGTTACATAAAGTAGAAAATCTGGCTAACTTTGTTATTTTTTCAGTGTTTATTTACTACATCATCAACAGAATATTATAACAAAATGAGTTGCTTATTTATATCAGTACAATTATCAATAGTTGGCAGTTTAGTCCTACAGAACATTACTCATACTCATATGTTCGGTCTTCATTAAATGCCCAACAGTTGTATCCATCTAAGCTAAGCTTAGTAAATATCCCATGTGTCTTTTGTAACATGATGATTAAAAAGCTTATCTCAAGAACCAATAAGCTAGTGTATTGAGCTTCATCTTTATTGGCTTCCAACAAACATAGCTTTATACAATACTAAGCTTGAACATCAATAATATGATGGTCTGACCTTGTAGCAGGACTCAGTTAATTTTCATAAAAGAGGAAGAACAATACAAAAAATACAGCAGAATAAACAGAATGCTCATCCAAATTCTTCTCATTACATCAGAAGGATATCCATTCAATTAAACATTTCTACCAACAGTGCTTTATAATATACATCTTTTCTGGTAATGATGTCAAATCTAGCTCTGAAGGCCAGAACAGAGCTGTCCTCTTGGAATCTTAAGTCAAGAGAAATAAAACAGCTAATTTATATATAAGTAGGAATAGCACCAAACCATTTTTAAAAAAAATCTTTTTAAAAAATAACAATTATTCTTAAACATGAGTTTGCATTGAAAGTTTTGTTGAAATACTGCTTCATTATTGCAATAAATTTAAATTTATTTTTATTTCATTTGCTTTTTTCAGCCACTGAATTTAAGTTTATCATCTGAGGTATTTATTTAGTGTATCTTTATATAATCTATTAACTTTTTCCCAATCCTAATTCTTATATCTTTTCTTTAATCCTAAATCCAGCAGATTCCTCAACATAAGATTCTGATTTATTTTTCTTATGTTACAAATTCTCTCTGATATTCTATATTCCTGAAGCATTAACTCTTTGGTGGTACATAAATTATAAGTCATGACTTGTATATTCTTCTGGGTGCATAGTGTGTGTGTCTATAATATATAAAAAGGGAGCTGAAAAGTTCTTATCTCAAGTAAACTCTGACTAAAAGGCTTTTTTAGTCAATCTGAGAACAGTTCAATACCACTCATGCATATTTTTCCTGATTATATGACATATAAACTGAATGGCTCTAAAATTAGAAACAGCAATACACTGGCTAGTTTTACTTTTCCCCAGTTGTAGAAATGGACTCATCCAGTTATGACATGATAGGTGAAGTGTTAATGTAGTTGTGGCAACCATGGGATTCAGACAGGATTTGACACTATTTAAACAAAGAATGATTGTTGGGGCCAAAAAAGATAGGCTATTTTATCTGAGATGGCAACTGTTCCAGGTTTTTCTTGGACAGCAGTAGCCAAAATATACCAGGAATATGTATATTCAATACAGTACTACATGAAAATTGTAGGCAGCCACAGGTGATGCAAGAATATGATCAATAAAAACTGATGTTGATGGTGAGCAACCATTGAAGTTCAATACTAGTATTGCACAACATACACTGCATTCCATAGAATTTCATAGTCATCAACCAACAAGATCATTAATGATGTCATTAGCTACTGTACCTCACCTGAGCCAGAGAACATTGCCTTTGGACTGTGTAAGACTGACACTGTATCACCTGGTCAGACAAATTATTTTTCAATCTCTTTGTTGGCAAACTTTCAAGTTTTTATGTGAAGGAGACCACATGAGACTATCAAGTCCAGCATGTCAGCTGAGTGTTACACAAATTGCTATTAGCTCAATAGTTGTGTGTTCAAATATAAGCATAAATATGTTCAGGTTAGATTTTACAAGAACCATGAGTGAAACTGGAGTCCATTTTAGTAGATGGGTACTCTAGGTTCTCTCTTAGTCTCTGCACTCACCAGATTTAATTTCCATTGAGCATGTATAGGATATGTTGCAAGTATTACTAAATTCCCTGCATCTACACTCAATAAGTAATTATGAACATGCCTGAAATGTCTGGATAGCTATACCCAGGCAATACCTTGTTTCTGACTTTGTGGTAATTTGCTTTATATAGATATGAGGTCCATTTTTTTAAAAATCTTAAGAGCCATTTATGCAAAGTTGATGTCATTGGGTAGCCAATCAGAGGGGAAATATGTTAACAAACACATACGCATGGATTACTTATTTGATAGTGATATGCCATTGACTGATCTTGTATATCATATAACTATTACGTTCATCATGACAATATACCTGATCATTTTTCACATCTCATGCAGGGTTTTCGGTAAAATATTACCTTTATCTGGCAACAGATTAGGCTGCAAAAGAAGAAATTGCATTAAATGAGATTATGGATAATGTAAGGTATTTGATGGTAATCCCAAAAGGGGAATTTGCAGACATTTTTGTAAAGTTGAAGAGACATTGGCTTATGTCTGTGAAGTCAAAAGGGGAATAATTTGAAGAGGACAATGGACACATTACCATAAATATGCAGTTTTTGCATTAATATTAAATGACTGTATACTATTCATTCAGATCTTGTCTCTGTGTGTGTGTATATATATATATATATATATATATATATATATATATATATATATATATATATATATATAATATGTGTGTGTGTGAATGATACAGATGGGCATTCTTTGGGGTATGCAAAATATATGTAAGTCATGATTTATCTATTCTCCTGGATATCTGATGTCTTTTTTGTGTGTATATATAATGTGAGATTTCATTATGTAAATTATTTTCATAATAAAATTGGTATTAACTAACTGATATTGCAAAAAGTTTTAGGATATATATGCAATATGAGTTTCAGCTTATAATAATTTTCTTATTAAAAATGTTGATAATTTGTTTTGTGAAGGTCAGGTTTTATTTAAATTTATAATTAAAGTGGGCAACATAAACTTTTATTTATAAATAAATATAGGCCATAAAAACATATTTGATTAATATACTATATATAAATAAATAATTTTACATTTTAATATATGTTTCTTGATCTTTTATAACCATCATCATTATTTCATTCGTTTGTTTTTTTTTAAACTTTTGTATTGTTCTGACAATGTTTTTTGTATTACTTGCAGTAGTTTGTATTACTCCTCAGGGATCTTTTTACTTGAATATTGTTTTGCATTTTACTTTCAATGATGGTCCATAAATTTTCTTACATTATTATCTGAAGTGATCTTGTGTGTGTGTTTATATTGAGCGGGGGAAACATTCCACTCATTTGGTATCTTTCAAGCCTTTTTGAGAAGGTAGACAATAGTCAGCTTTGCAGTATGTGATGGGACAGTGTCTTGCATGAATATACTCTTTAACTTAAAACTTTTTGGTTATGTAGTGTACAGCTCAAAGAATGTTATGTCCAAGAACTTAGAATAGTTCTCAATGTTTATCTTAATACAATCATCAATTTTGAAGAGAGCTACACTGATCTTTCACTGCCTGCAATACAAACCTCAAAAATTATTCCACTGTTGTCTTCTAAATTGTCTTAGTTAAAAAGCTTGGTTGTTTTTCATCAAGTCTACAATTATCACTAAAATTACTGTTGAGAAATCGGTTTTCATGTACTTATTCATCCATTACATGTTTCTCATTTGGAGTTAATTTAAAGGTGATAGTTTAGCTGCTTTCATGTTTTTATTTAATATTCTGATGTTTATACAATATTCAAATATTTTCCTGCTGTTCAATTCATTTTTATTACTAATTTACTCTTTTAATTTTTCTCAAATCTCTTTATGCAAAATTCTTAAAGCTAGTTTTTTTCTCATTCTTGCTAATGTTTTCAATTTCTTTTCAATTGTTCTATGATCTCTATTCAACTTTTTCTCATTTTCAGTTTTGTGTTCTTACCACTCAGTTACTTTACAGTATGTTGTTTCTCTTTTGTGGATGTCTCTTTCTTACCACCCATAGTAATCTTCATATATCTGAAATGAAAAAATTAATATCAATAATTATACTATGCAGTAATTAAATCTAGCAGCACCAAATATTTTATTGTAAATATTTTTAATAAATATAGGTATAAGCTGAAATTCATACAGTATATTTATTATATAAATATATCTTGAAAATTTTACCAATTTTATTTGATTCATACCAATTTTTATTGTGGAAACATTGACTTGCATAATGAAATATAACATGTATATAGAAGGGTTATGATATGTCTGTTCTCCTGGATATATAGCATACTTGGACTTTGCTGAATGCTCCTGGTCTTTCCTGCTGTATTTATTGCCTCTAAACTGCTATTATATTTTTACTTATAAAAAAGTGAATTTCATATAAAAACTACTAAAAATAAGTAAGGTAAAATCTGATCTATGACATTTAACAAAACTTTTGGCAAATTTATATTTTTAATTATATATTTTGAACTCCTTGTTTTAAAAATATGTAAACCATTTGAAGAGAAAAACAAGATTATCTTTTATTCTTTTACAAACAAAAGTTTGCAGCACAGCTTAAGAGTAATTTTCTTTTTCTTTTTTTTAATTATTGTGTAACTAAAGGGTTAAATAATGTCATTAACTCCTTTGATCTTGTGGTGACTAATTCTGGTAGAAAAGGTTTGGTTGGCTACTTTGATTTGGACCAATTCTATACTTTATATCATTTAAAGGGCAGATAATGAGTGAAGAGATCTTGGAAAATTTGATACTCACAGGACAGATTGAAGGCAAGATGGACAAAGGAAAACAATGCATAACCTACCTAGCGAGCTCGATTACATGTATGGCAGAACAGGATTTCATGAGCAATAACAAAAAGATAAATTTATTAAGAGCTACAAAGGACAGGAAATTGTGGAGAGCCATTTTCCTCAACATCCTGAAAGGACACAACACTTAGAAAAAGTTATGTACACAAAGACATATTTTCAATTTTCCATTAGGTAATTCATTTAGTGATTGCTTTCTTCAAAAATGTAATCTTCATAATCATCACAAGACATACTGAAAACAAGAGAGGCAAAGGAAAGCAGTAACATAACAAGCTTATGTAAATGGATGGCAAAACAAAAAGTGGGAGGGATAGTAAAAAGTCAAGACAACTTACTATCATTTGTAACATTTAGTTGCAAATGATAGGAAGTTATGGAGAGCCATGATCACTCACATCCTAAAGGAACACTGCACATAAGAGAAGAATAATAGCACATTAATCAGTCAGTTAAGTGTCATGCATGATACACACTTGGACGATCATGTCTCTTTCAATTCATGACTGACTTGACAGAAGATATTCCCCAGTAGGTTGCCATTTCTGGGGTGGGTTATCAACCAAGGTTATAGAACCCAGTCTGTCCTGCTTTTCAACCCATAACTGGGGGAGAAGAGACGGATTCATATCTTTCCCAAGAGTATTTGTGCATAAATATATATAAGGAACTCAACTGGAATTCGAACTCGGCCCTTTCATTTCTCATTCTGAGCCAATATCAATTACACTGCAATGCACATCCAGCTACACACCCCAGTTGTCAAGCATTTTACTGTTTTTTGATTTTTTTAACATTTACATTACATATCTATTACTCTATATGCAAAACCTTTCTATATTTGTATGCATATGATTTACTTGTTTAAATCACTGCATGTTAAGCATTTAGAGGGTGAATCAGGAACTTTATAAACCTGCAAAATTGAATAATATCAGGTCACTCACTAAATGCTACTGATACCATGTAACCTAGTACTACCTGCTGCATGGACAGGTCATCAGCAACTAAACCAGTTCCTGCACCAGGCTTTTCCGGTGGGGAGGGTGACTAAACACCCAGTATAATTAAATGCAAAACCTGTCAAAGGATAGATGAACATTCTTGTAGTGTCAACAGCCATCTAGTACAATGAGATAGACTGGGGTTCATAGTTATGTATAAAGCCAGTGTGGTGATGACACAGGTTATAGAACTTCCTACATTGAAGTCAACAGACAGTTTAAAGGGTTCCTCTGATGGAATCAACAGTTACATGCCCATTATCAGGCCTTCAAGTTGGAAGATATTGACTGATGTTTCATCTATAGAGGGATGGTCTCCATCAGGTCTACTTTCCCAAGGCACACTATGCATGAATGAACCTCTCCAACATTCAAATAAATTGTGGAGGGTACTAGTCAGGTGTTCAGTTGAGCAGCAACTCCACAACCACATACAGTCATAAGACTGATGATGATGAAAAAACAATTTGGAAAATTTTTGCTTTGACATATTTCAAAAACTAATTATCTAGTGTCATCAGAAAAAAAAGTATTTTATTTCACAAGAATAAAATCTACATGTGAAACATGATTCATATTAATTGATTTTTACTTTAATGCATCTTTAAGTAAATTATATTCCCATTTTATTAAAACAATATTTTCCAAATCAAAATTGTGATCATGAAGGTTTCGGTGATGTACAAGTGTTGTTTATTTTGAAGTCCCCTTTGTGTCCATATATTCTTTTTCTTTAAATCTCAAGAGGTTTAGCCAATGTATTTTGTTTAGACTCTGTTTGATAGACTCCAGTTTCTGATGTAAAATTAACTGTTTTACATTGATTAAATTTTTAATTATTCTTGAAGGATTTGTAATAATTTTTATATTTAGTTAAGCTAACTTTATTTCAAGTTCATTAGTTATAGTGTTTGTAGATGATCTGATGTGTTGTCATTTATACTTACTTTTTCAGATTTGTGGATTTTGTACACTTAGGTTTAGTATATGAAATAACTCAGTATCAGTATATGGAGGATTTCAAAAATATTTTCAGTATATTTTTCTTCAGGTAGAGCTGCAAATTCTAAGGACTTAACTAAAAATCTATAATTATTTTAGATTAGATTTTATTACTGTGATGTAAGTAAAATTTATGAATTTGTTTTTAAATTTTATTTATTTATTTTATGTTAAACTGGCATTACTTTGAATTAGCAGAATATCAAGAAAAGGTAACATTATTTTATAGATAAAAATGTGAGGTTTGTACAGAGCAAAATGTTATGAGTGCAAAATAAACAGATTTGATGAAAGAAAAAGTGTGTGTTTGTCTGAGATCATGTGCTAAAAAGATTTTAGCCTAACTAAAAAACATTTCCTTTAAAATACTGACATTGGATCATTTGATCAGATTTTGGCGAAGTGGTAGGATAGGCCAGAAAATTTTCAGCAAGATTATATATATATATATATATATATATATATATATATTCAGATATAACTAAAAATATATCTGTGAAAGGACAATATGAATAAAGACAAAAGGAAAACTTATTTTAAACTTCCAAACTTAACTTCAATGTAAAGAATGCCACACTTATTAAAAGAGAAAGTAATTTATGTAAACAGAAAGTGCCACTATCCAATCACATCAAAATATAAATCTGCACCCCAATTTTTTTAAAATATTTCTGTTCCTGAAAGAATTACTTCTTTCCCAAAGCAAGCATACTTCACTATGAAAATGTTAAAAAAAAATTAAAAGAAAACAGTTAAATTCATAACCTTCTATTATTTAAAATATATATTACATAAATTAATTTCAAATTAAAATAATATAAATATTAATTACATTAATTTAAAAAAATTTACTCACTTTTTTTTATTAGACATTATATTACATCACTCCATAATTTACTTAGACATTTCATGTCTGATGTATATCTATGAGCATTCTTAAATTTAAAAATTTGGAAAAGTAACATTTTTACTTTTGTTTATAAATACTTTTTCAAAATAAAATCCTTACATTTGCCTTCATAAAGTCCATTAGAGAATAAAATGCATCAGCTAGGATAGGTTTCTTTATGCCTTTATTCAAACACACACGCATGCACACATATATGTTATGAAATGGATTAAGTCCAACAATTATTTAATATATTTTCTGCTTATACATTATTTTAATAGATACAATTTATTTAAGTAAATGCTCTGTTTTTTAAATAAACAGTATTAATTACATGTACCGGCCTGAATGTTTGAGAAATTTTGTAGAAAATATGTGTATATAAAATTGTATAAATAAATATATAAATTGTATCTATTAAAATAATGTATAAACAAATATATATATATATATATATATATATATATATATATATATATATATATATATATATATATCTGATAAAAATATAGTTTTAATGTGTTATATTTATGGGTTAAAGTGCTCAATATCACAGACTATATCAATGTCCACTTTTATTTATTTATATATATGCCCATACACACAATACTTATTTATTTATTTATATATATATATATATATATATATATATATATATATATATATATACACCCATACACACAATACTTTGTTCTGCCAACCGTTTACACATGCTCATTAGGTACATTATGCAGTTTTTATTTATCTGTCCCTCTTGCCTTTAATATGTCCTGTGAATGTCAAATTTTCTAAGCTCTCTTTCCTCATTATGTGCCCTAAAAATTTCAACTGTCTCTTTCTGATGTTAAGTATAAGTGTCCTTTTACAGTTGTTGATAATGTGGTTCAATAGCTATGATCTGCTTTACCCACCTCCAGCCATAGAAAGCAAGTATATTTTTTTCTTTAACAATTTCACTTGCATATGACCTACACTAAAACTTTCTAAATGTTAACATTAGAACTGGAAATCAATTTCTGCTTCTGACTGTGGTGAGGGGATGTATCTGATTTTCTTTCATATTAAATAATTTCCAATTACCACAACTTTATTTCAGCAAGTAAAGTGATTTTCAATGAATCCATTTGTTTTTATTTGCCTTTTCTAGTTTAAACATTGTTGAAACCTCTAATATAAACCATTGTCATCATTCCCCAAGTTGTTCCAATCGGTATTCTCATTCTTTGCTTCATTCTTCAGCTAAGTCAGTTCCTTGTAATGAATAGTTTTACATGTAATCAACAGAGATTCCTGCATACAATAGAGATTCATGAATTAACATAACTGGAGAAAACTCTTGTTAGCAAGAGCTTAAACTATGTCTAAGAAAAAAAAAATTCTTCTTACCAAAAGACTGTGATAAAAAAAAAAAAACACATCAGAATATTAGTCTAAATAATTTGTGGAATAATTTATAATTTTATTTTTATCTTTGTATTCATTTAACTTTTAAATCAGCAAATATTCTTATTTACTCTCTGATCACTTGTATTTATTAATGACATTTGCACAGCTGTGAAAATATTACTGAATGCTTCCCCTCATTACATCTCGTTGTATAATAAAATGTAACATATGAAAAGGATAAAGAGAAGCATGCGGATTTTTTTCTAAAATTCTATCATTAACTATTTCAATGATTCCATCCATTTTTTAGGGGATTGTTATCTTCATCTTTGTTGATTTGAAAAAAGAAAAATAAAGATTCTTTGTTGGAATTGATAATTACCATATTTGATGGCCTACTTTATCCCCCTAAAATATCACTCAGGTTGTATATAAAAAGTTGGGGGATATCTGGTAATGTTTACCAATAGACTACCATTAATTGTACTTAGCTAAATTCTAAAATATTGTAATGTTAGCTGTAAATATAGGGATGTCAAGGAGGTTTTATATTCCATTAATATACTAGTTCCATGATTTTGTTAAATTGTATTATTTTGGATATATGAGTGAAGAAAGGAAAAAAAAAAAAAAAGATTACTCAATTTCTAAGGACTACCAAATACAGCTTATATCTGCGAAAGACTGAAGAACATATCAACCAAGGCATCAAAAACAACAATGAAGATACAAGTGTAAAAAAAATGTGTGTATTAAAGTTCCACAATATTTGTATGATAAAAACAGAAAAAAAATTTAGAATAAAATATTATCATCATCATTACCTCTTTATATTCATGTTTTCACTTATTATTGATAATGTTAATTATTTTCTTTTCAGTACAAAGCCGTGTTATTAACTTTCATAAATGTTTTGCTTCATTTGTCAGATGAAGCAAATTCCATTTAGAATTGGCAAATGCATTAGTATTATTTTTTTCATTTATTTTTAATTGCATTTAATCATTGTCTGTAATGTTTTGTTAGCATTTTGTAATGTCAGTCTTTCTTTGTTTTTAATTTTTTTCCCTTGTATTTTTGCTCCAGCAATTTTCAGAATCTTCAGACAAGTCTCCAACAGCCTCATCAATAATGTCCACAATCAGCAGTGAATTAAGTGGAATTGCCCAGACCACCAGCAGTACCCTATCTGGCCTACTTGGTGAGAAGAACTTTCATCTTCAAATATTCAAACCTTATTCTGTGTAGACTCACTTGTACAGGTTATTGAAATTATCCATACACCCCTTTTTATTGTTGGTTATAGTACTACTTACTCTTCTTTTTGTCCCCATCATGCATTTTGAATGAATGTGTTTGGCTGAACATTTTTTCTTTAAAGTTATGCTTGATTTGCTTATTTTTCATTAGTGTCTAAAGTCATAAATGCATTGAAATCCTATAAGAAATTATTCATACAGAAAAAAAATGTAGAGTTACAATTAATTGCACATTCAGAATCCATTAACTTTAATGCATTTTACTTTAACAAAATTAGTGCATTTCATCATCACAGAAACATTTTTGCCTCTCATAGTCTATTAAAAATATCTGAAAATATAAATGTAATTGTAAGTATTCAAGTGGAAGTAAAGTAATACTGATTACTAAAGGTCTCATTTCAAGTGTTTTTATTAGAATTAATTAAAAAAGAAAAAAATAGTCTATATGCTGATTAATTTGCTTTCCATAAAAATATGGATAGTTTCTTAATCATTTCTCATAGCATGAAAATAATCACTACAATGATAAAAATCATGTAACTTGAGCAGTTTTTTTGTTTAGTATGTCAGGTTCATACTGACATATCTCCTCTCCAATATCTTGTAGATATTTCATTTAATACTTATCAAAATCATCTGAAGACACAGCAGAATCACTTTAACAAAGAAAATAATAATAGGATGATCACCAATAAAAAAAAAAATGGTATAAACTTTATATAAAAGAAGAAAGTATGAATGTGGGAACTCTTTGAAAAAATTCTCTTTATGTGTAAATTTGATATTCAAATGAACTGCTCTAATGACATTTTATTGTAAAGGAAACACATCTATTAATAAATATATCTTCCAATCATTTCAATTTTGTGAATTCTAACACAAGTAAAATATACTGTTGCCTACCACTGGTTTTGTTTTTCTCATTTTAATTTAGAAATGGTATACCAAAATCAAAGGCATACAACAATTTAAATATATGGGAAGTGTTTTAACAGGGGATAGATAGTGTGACACTGGAATATGAAGGTGCATTGGTATAGTGAAAAATGCTTTCCAAAAGCTAAACAAAATCTTAAGAAACAGAAAAATTTTGTTAAAAACAAAGAAAAGAGTACTGAATTGTTAGATTAAATGCTAGACAATCTCCTCTCAGATGAAGAAGAGACTTGAAGCAACAGAAATGTTCTTCATGCTGAGAATACCATGGGTAAAACATGTGAGCAATGTCAAAGTTTTAGAAAAAATGGAAACCAAAAGGACACTTATACTTAACATCAGAAAAAGATAGTAGAAATTTCTAGGGTATATAATGAACAGGGATTGGAATATTTTATACTAACAGGATGGATTAAAGGCAAAAGGAACAGATAGAAAACAATGCATAACCTTCCTAATGAGCATGTGTAAATGGTTGGCAAAACAGGGCTTAGGAGAGATAACAAAAAGACAAAATTTATTAAGAGTTACAAAGGATAGGGAATTTTGGAGAGCTATGATGGCCAATGTCCTGAAGAGACCCAGCACATAAAAGATGATTATCCAATTAATGAATTAATTCCTTAATGTTCAAGTAGTAAAAGTATCATTTAAATTGGATAGAATTCTTGCTTTGGGGTTATGTCAGAATAATTATATTAACACATACATTAACAATTAAATTGAAGAATAGTTTTTAGAACCATCAATTAGAATTGGAAGGAGCATTTGAATTAAGAAAAAAATTAAAGCTTAATGAAAATTTAATGTTTATATGAACCAAATAAATATTTTTTTATTTTACAGATTCTTCTGATTTAAATGTGATTATTTAACAAATTATTATCCTCTCCAAGGATATAATTGACCCAACTTTGCTTCTCCTCTCCCTTGCACCTTCTCTACTGCACCATACCATATTTCCTCTCTTTGCCACAAAGTCTTATTGAAACATACAATTAGCACTCTTGATATGAGTTTGAATATTCTCATTGTTATAGCTAATTGACTATTTAACAGTAAAGCTTATTTAAGCCTTATAACCTTGTTCCACCAAAATTATATCTCATGAAGTATGAGTTGGATGGAGTTTGTCATCAACCAATCAATTTCCCTAATCTTTTAAACTATGGTATCCCTACTTTAACTAGCTTAAACTAAACCTAACATAGTCTTTTCTCTTTTCTTTATCATTAGATTTTATCTCCTTTAATTATGCCTTTGATTTGGTAGGTGGAAGAAAATAGTCAATTTTATACACTTCTGGTCATTTTTTAAAAAACTTTGTGATAGAGAAAGAGGGAAAAATTAAGATACTGGTTTAATTTATTCCTAGAATAATATTATTTCACTTCAGAATATTGTTCTTTTATTATTTCTTATAGTCTGCTTCATTATTAGACTTCTTTCTGATTCACTCCACACCAAAACATGCCAGCTGGATGTGGATGGTACAGAAATAAAAATAAAAATGTTGCTTTCTGTGCAGAGGCTTTGAACATTACATCCTGCTCACAAAGTAAAGCTTTCAAAAATATAGAATAGAATTTAAAAGTCTGAGCTAATCATGAACATTGCTACTAAAGCCAAAGTATGACAAAAAAAATCTGCTGAGTCATATATCCACCCTGACTGCTTAAAAGGACCTGCTCAGCAACACTCAAAACAGTATGCAGACAGTTCACAGAATTCAATAGTAGCTTCTGCAGTTAACCAACCCAACATGAGCATCAACACCAGGCAACTTTCCCATCTTCCAGGTTGCGTCCCTCTTCTTAGACATTCTACTTTGATCTATTATACTAGCAATACAGATCATTTTATTTTAACATATTTTGTCTCTTTTCCTTTTTGCCTCACTGACAATACTTTGTATTTTTCAATTGTTACTCTTACAACCATACACAGTATATAACTTTTACTTCTTTTAATTTGTTATCATTTAGTATTAGGTATGCAAAGCAAGGTATAAAGCATATCTATCTTGCACTTGTACTACTTATGATTTAATTCTATTAACTCTACAAAATCTTTTTTTCTGTACAGTTCCAGATCATTTTTTATACTAAAACTAATCAAAGACAGGGCTGGAGAGCCACTCATGGTAGAGGATTACTGTTAAAAGGGTTATGATGAATGAGGTGTGTGCTATAAATATAAAGAGTAAGTGGTAAGAAATGAAGATTATGAGGACAAGGAGGATAGATAACAACTGACCATTGAATTGAAGAGCTTTAGATTGTAGTCTTCAGGAGACCATTTACATGGGAGTTTATTCTACAAAGTAGCAGTTCTTGAAAAAAGTGTTTGAGTGTAACTTTCTTTTTATAGTTGGAATATGGAGGAAATGTGGGTGATTCAACTCTGTGGAAGTAGCATGGCATGTGCTGGCTTTAAAGGTCTGAACTGTTGGAGTAATAATAGTATGATCACCATTTAATGTTTTCTCCTTCATATACCAAAACTTTAGGGTCTACAAAAAATGTTCAGCCATTCAGTTGGAAGAACTTCCTTTGAAAGGATATTAATCATCATCAGGAGCAATTATGGATTCTTTCAATTCCACATTAAGTTTTGTATTTCCATATTATGATAGTTGTATGATAGGTGTCATCCATAAATAAAGAGTTCTACCTGTTCTGCTTTTGACTCTTTTTTATTGTTCTCTATTGGTTGCATTTACCCAACATGAGAATTTTGAAAACCATTTTTATGTCCAGTGTTGTTTTTGCTAAACTAGAAATAGCATTTTTTTAAAATAAAAATGAAAAATATTGATCTGCGGAAAAATTGGCTCCTTTTTTAAAAGAAAATTAAAAAATGTTTAAAATAGCGAACAGAGACATAGTTATGTACCTTTTATAGAAATATATTTGTGTTTTACAAGGATGGTAAATACTGAGTATTAGAATAAATCTGAGGTTGCTTTGTACATGTATACTATACTAAATAAATTATTTCTGTTATTAAAATATTTTAATTTCTTTACAGAATGGAACTGTAAAACAAATATTAAGTTATAATAGCATTAGTTGAAAGCTGTGTTTAGATGTAAGAAGAAAAAGTGTGATGTTTGTGTATCAGAATCCTTACCTGACTTTTTTAATTAGGAATTGTAAATTGCTGTGTATCGACATGGAGTTTTGTACTTAAATCCTTTATTGACTGTTGAATTTTATGCATGTATACTTTCAAAGATTTTAATTTTAATTCTTGTAATACAATACAAAACAAAATATAATGCTAAAAGAAATACAATGTATTCAGTTGTTTTAGTTACTTTTCATAGTCTTGGTAAGTAGTAATTTTACTTGGTTGAGTCCAGCTGACTTGAATCTCTTTTGAGAAGAGAATAAATTAATTTCAAACCTATTACAGCTGCCACTACCAGTTTTTAGTTTTGTAAAAAATAGTGTTGATTTCTAATTTAATAATTTTTTTCAATCATTTGGATAAGGCATTAGCTAGATGAAGACACCATTGCCACTGAAGTTTTATCACTATGTGAGAGTTATTTCTGGGAGAAATATTTGGGAGGTATTTCCACTATACTCTGTATATTTTAACATAACTGGAAGCAGTCTTATTGACACACACATGCATTAATTCAATGAACAACTTTTAAGTAAACCAACTGTAATAAAATAAATAGTGAAACAATTTTACAATTATTCTTGAAAGTTGTGAAAATTGTACTGAATAGAACATTTAAATTTTTTATACCATTAGAAGAATCAATGTCTTAACAAATAATACTTTTTGTATTTATACTGAACAAAGTGGATATTTTATCTTATGATAAATGTTTACAAGTCTTCTCATTTATTTAAGTCAAATGCTGAAAGAATACTTAATCTGCCAAGTTGTGACATTACTTTTTTACCATCAAAATATAAGGACATAAAATATTTTGTCAGAAATGTAAATTCATATGTAGTTATCTGATTATGATTAGATGCTAATTTATGGACAAATTTTAAGAATACTTGATAATAGTTCCGAAAACTCAAAATCCCAGGCCACCATTCTACAAATGTTAACCTGCACAGATTTGAAATATGGAATGATTGTAGATATTTATTTTACAAATCTTAAGATATTTATTTTACAAGCCTTCAGAATGCAAAATACAACACCAAGTTTTTCATGTGGGTTTCAGCAAGGATTCATTGATTCTGATATACAAAAACAAACAATCCCTTTATAGAAACTATACATCTGATCATAAATCAACAGGACTGTTGCTATTGTAATGGAGCTAAAGTATGCAGAGTGAAGCTGCTTTGCTCAGATTGACTTTGAACTCTGTCGTACATACACACTAAGTTATAACATTCTCACTCACCTCTGTTGTTTATAGCAGTGTTTTGAAAGAAAGTGTGTAGAGTGTGGTGGTCTCACCACACCACAGAGGTTCCATCAGTGACCTTGCCTTGTACATTGGTTTTGGGCCAATTACAACCTTCCCCAGGTCTGACAAGCACCATATTCCCCAGATCTTGCCCCTTATGATTTTTTCCTCTTCAAAAATCAAATCCCACTTGAATGGAACAAAATTTCAAGATGTTGAATTAATCCAAGAGAATACAACAAGGCAGTTGCCCAAAAATAGAATTTCAGGAATGCTTCCATCAATGGAAATGTTGCTGGATAAAGTGTTTGGCTTCAGAAGGAGACTACTTTGAAAGAAATTAAATGTTGAGTTGATATGTGTTGTAGTTTTCTTTTTATAGCACCACTACCAATACTTTTCAGTTAGACCTAATAGAAAGCCTAGCAAAAGTATTATTTTAATAAAGCAGTTTCTTCAGAACTCCTGAATAGTTTATATCTGCTCTTCACAACTTACATGGGTTTCATCCTCTTGAACATATCATTAATGTAGCAGTTGATCCACTACACACTTTACAAATAATAAAATACTAATGAAAAATAAATTGACTATTTCTGCATTCTAACTTCAGACCTTGATGTAAACATTAAGTAAAATAACCTTTTGTGTGTGCAGTTTCTTTTATTGTTTTTTTTTTTTCACTGCTTTCCTCCTGCAGATTTCATAACTTTTATTGTTTGATCCTTGCCAATTCAAGTCCTTTGCATGTGTGTATCCTTCCTACCCTGTATTCACAATGCATTTCTTTGTCTTCACTTCTTTCCTTAGGAAATAATCGATCTGTTATGCCAAATCTTCAAGGTAGACCTCAAGCTAAGCCATTTGCACCGCTAGGTAAGTTGTACATCCAATTTTACCAGATCTAACATGGAAATTAGTGCACAAATTCATTATTCAAATTACAGTTTGTATTATGTCAGCTACAATCCCTATATTTAGACCATTGCACAACCATTACTACTGTAGCCATACTGGGCAGGTGATGATCATGCAAAACATTCAAAATGATTAAGGTTTCTTATGTTAGGCCACGGTTCTTGCTCTCTTTTTCTTTTCAATGTCTACCCTGATGTCATGTTATTTTTGCTGAAATTTATAAGTTTTGTTCATTAATTTATTTTTAATTAACCGATCCATCAAAACCCAACATTTATTTCAATATATTTGATATTGTAGCATTGATATTTATTGTCTATTCTCTAAGAAATCATTTAATCATTGTCATCAGCCAAAGTTCATTATGTAATTAATATGAATTGGTGGATATTACAATTTCCTGTTTACAATGTTTTATAATACAACTTTGATTTTGCAATCTACATTTCATTTGATAATCTCAATGAAAGCATTACAGACAAAGAATTAAAAATAATTCTTCTTCAGTAGGCTGACACTTTCCCAGAACTGTAAAACACTATGAATCAAGAATCACTTTTCTGTAATCACAATTAAATTTTATTTCAATATAAATGATGACCATTGCAAATAATTATAAAATTTTCTAAAAACATTGTTTCTTTTTATTTCTTTCATGAATTATTTAAACAAGTATTCTCACATTTTTTGTTTTGATCACAACATTTTGGCTGGTGGGTTCTCTGGCATTCCTTGGTTGCATGCTGCATAGAGTAAAATTCAATATTTTCTCTCCAAACTTCATTAAAAAAATTAAGTTACCAGATGCTGCATACATCTGAGAAAATGTGGAGGGCCTCCCAGCTAAAATAAAGTAATCAAAACAACAAAGAATAATGAATAATGACCACACTTCGCCTTTAATTTAAAAATATATTGGATACTAGTCTGATTTACACATGTGCATATAATTTTTACTTTCAGGTAACCGACGAGCTCTTGTCGAAAAATCAGGTTTAGTAAAACATACGACTAACCGGCGACCTCGTGAAATGACCCGACAACAATCTACAGAATCCCGCCCCAATTCTAATAGGTAAAATTTTATTTTTTAAAACAGTGATTGGGAGAGATAGAAAGTTGTGGAGAGCCATGATCTCCCAGATCCTGAAAGGACATGGCCCATAAAAAAGAAGAAAATTTTACCTTCTATCACTTTTATCATTCTGAGAATGTATATTGGCTCAAGAATATTTTTTTTATTTAAGAAAATCTGAATTCTTTGCTGAAAGAAAGTTTTTATTGTTTTAATAATAGTAACTCAAGAATTGCTCTGATCTTAAAGGTTATATGTTTCCTAAAAAGAAATTATCAGTAATGTTATCTTAATATAGTGATCATACCAGTGTACTTTTTTTTAATACTATTTAGTTTATTTTTAAATCCACCTTTATTCATTAACTTAAGCACATGTCTAAATTTCTTTGACACACTATGATTTTTATATTCTGCAGCTTGTGTTAATAAAAGCAATATTTTTTGTTATGTTTACACTGGCCATTTTTCTGGCTAACCAAAGCAAATGCCAAATTTCAATCCTAACTTTAATATAATCAACAAATTCTGTTACTTTTGAAGGAAATTTAACAAACCTACAAAAATAGTTTGCTTTTTGTGTCTTTACTTATATAAGTCAATAAACAGTTATGCATGAAGAAATGCACAATTTATTAACTTGTGTGTTGGAAACTAAAATATGTAAATTGACAAAGTTCAATCACTTGGAAATTGTCTATTATCTTCCTTTATACATTGTTGCCTAATTCTGTTGAGATACATGTGTTTATGAATCTTGAATATGTCTATCAGCCTGCACATTCAAGAACTCTAAGTAAAAAAAATATTTTCTGGCAGGAATCAAACCAAAGTTCCTCTTTGTAGGGAAAACTCACAACTATAGTTGCTCAAGAAAAATAATCAGGATGCACAACTGTTTAAAACACTTGTTTTTGTCATATAGGAAAATCCAACATGGCGCTTGAACAAAATATTCGGTGAAAAATCCCATTCGTCAGTAACATTTTAAACCCCTCATAGAATGCAAAGTTCTCAAAGCAAACCTGTGCCAAACTGTTTTCCTGAATCCTCAATGACTTGGCTGTCCAAAAATGACAATATCAAGATGAAATAATGGAAACTGACCATGGAAAACACAATTAGGTACAAGTTTTCGATCAAGCAGTTAACTTCTAGATGTTTTCAGGCATTGTTATAGGATCCAGACGGCTATTGTTTGCACATGGAATTATTCACTGGTAATTAATCTTCAATTTGGCTGTGAAAAATGTCACTTGGGGTTAGCATTTAAAAATTATGGCCAATTTTCTGAGAAAAATCCCTTTTTTTTATGAAAAAATGTATTTTTCACTTCAAAGCAATTTTTTTCAAACTTCAATCCTTTCTCTTTAAGTTGGTGTGAACATCATTGAATAAAAGGAACCACTATATGACCCAGCGATGGGAAATACGAAAGACATGCGGTGAAAAAAACAATGTTGTCTGCTAAGTGTTGTTGTCATCACCTGGGTCACGAGGTGTTAAAAAACAAAACAAAACACATCAAGCCATTGTTCAAACATGTTTGAAAAAAATAACCCATATCAAGCCCTTTTTACCAATATTGCCCCTTTTTTTTCATTCTTTGCTCTTATCTTGTAAGTGGTGAGATTTATTACAAGCTGATGATGGCTTGTTTTAAGTTTATTGCTGGCTGGCTGGCCTTTGACCCAGACATGTCAGTCAATTTGGTTGAATTTTCCTTATTGTTACTTTTTTTTTTTTTTTTTTTTTTTTTTAAAAAAACTCCTGGTTTTTGGTGGCCAGGAATTGCGGATAAATCTTTCACCTTTTACTAAAGAGTTCCATGGCCGGGTGTCAATTTTTTTTTAACTCCTGTCAGCTATATAATTGAAAATTACCAATAGACCCCTAGGAATGTTGTTTTCCTTCAAACTCTCAACATGGCGCCTGAAATAGTTTATGATTTAGGCTTTCTGATTTTTAAAAAAAAAAATGGTTAATTTCTCATTATTGGGTAAATTTTTTGTTTAGAACTAGAAAAAATGCAAAATTTTCACTTTTTTTTTTCACATTTTAACCCCTGAAAAATGTTTGAGTCATTTACACCAGCCAATTTTACTTTCAAAGGAAAGAACATATTCTTTGCTTTCATGGGGTTCAGATCAAAAGTTTCCTTGATATTTTGTTCAGATGATGACAAAACAGTCATTTTTCAATATATTCAGAGAAATAAGCTGTGACAAAATTACTTTTGCCATTTTTTTGATGATTTTTACTTGGGATAGAAAATTTTTACTATAGATAACATTCTGACTCATAGTGAAAAGGGTGCATTGGGCAAAAAATCTTTAGAACCACTGGTTTTAAATCATTTTTATGTCTTGTTCAGAATCCCATTAAATAATGTTATCTCAATCTTTTAAAAATCTCAGTCTTAAAATTGCTCCAAATGTTCATGTTTTTTTCCCTTTCTAATGCAACTTTTAAAAAATTTAATTTGTTTCTCAGTGAAAACCAAGCCTTCCTGAAAGAAATTATAAATTCAGTCCTTGAAGGACATGGGGTCAGTTGGTTGAAGATTAGTCGTCTGAAAAAACTGATGGAAGATGAGAACTATCGTAACTTTGTGGTCAGTCGACTCAACAAAAACCTTGATAAAAAGTTGACTGATGATAACCAACATATCGAAGATGTGGTAAGTTTGATATCAGATTTTGTTTGATCTTACATTTGAGAAAATGTGTACCTTTATTTCCACATGCTGTAAAAAGAAAAAACAGTATGAGATATTTCACTGCTGATTTGACACTGCTTGTTCATCCCAATTTGCCACCAGATTTATTTTAAAAAATGATTTAAAACTATATAAAAAATTAATTTATAACACATTAGTTTTAAATAATTTCATCTTTTCTTGCTTTTTATCATGTTTTTAGTTAAACTTTTCTTCCACTGTCAAATGAAATTACAGGATTTTTTTTAAGAAAAAAATAAACAATGGCATTGAAAAAATTACAACTCGTATCTATAACTTGGGAATTCATTATTCATGGACATTGTCTTAGCTAAAGGGGGGTTTCCAAAGTTGTTATAAGTTATGGTTCTCATCCCTAATCTTTCTGTCAACATAAGATTAGCATGTTATCTATTCAGAAGGCTTATGGCCATATCACGTTGAAACATTTGTTCCCTGTAGGATCAATGAAGTTAAGCAATCTCAAGCCTGGTCAGTACCAAGATGGGTGACTGCTTGGGAATACCAGGTTGTGTAATGGATAATGGCTTGGAATTGTTAATTGGAGAGCAGTGTTCAGATTCCAGTTTGACATATACAAATACCCTTGGAATCCATTTCTTCTTCTCCCCAGCTATGGGTTAATTAGTAAGACTTGTATCACTAAATCATTATTAGCACACAAAAAAATCTTACAATCTAAAAATATCTTCTGGTTTTAAATAAGCTGCAAAGGGTTGATAAGCCATAGAAAATCAATCAATATTTATTTAGTACCAAATAAAATTGGAAGGATAAGAAAGGCAGAAATATTAGGGATGGGAATCTTGCTTTATAACAGTGTCAATAGCCTAATTGGCTAAAGCATTGTCCTTGAATTATAAATTTCTGAACTATAGTCAAAAGTTGCTGCTTTGTTCTGAAAAAATATAGTAATAAAAAACAAAAATTAGTGATAATGAAAATATTTTGGCAAAATCTAATATCAACTAAATAGTATTACTAGTAATTTAAAGGCAAAAAAATAAATATGCTAAAACATTGTGACAATCTTTAACCTCCATGCCCACAAAAAAATGGTGTGTCAAAAGGACAGTTCTCCTCTTGAAACTGCTATCCCTATATACACTTTTGACTCCCTTAACAATGTTTATTGTTTTTTAAAAAACAACTATTAGAATTTAAATGAAACACAAACATATGAAATGGATTTACATATTTTCTTTGAGAGTTTACAACAAAGATATTAAACACTATTTATTAGATTGAATAAAAAATTTGTTTTCATAACTATTTATAAATAATTGCATTGTAGTTGGTTTACATATTTTGATAATTTTGTAATTTTTTTTAATAAAAAAAATTATTTTCACATTTATTTCTTTATAAAATGGTACATAAATATTTATAAACGGTAAATAATAAATATCACATTGTAGTTGGTTCACAGATATTTTTATAATCTTGTAAATAAACATTGCCAAGGGATTTAAAAGTGTATAAAGTAATAATAGTTTCAAGGAAATAACCATACTTTTGACACATTGTTTTTTGTTTTTTTTTTGTGGTTATTGTCCTCATGGCACATGGAACTAGAACAGTCTACCCCAATGAGCAAAATAAAAGGTTCAGTTCAACATTCCAACCACCTGAAGAAGGCCGGAGTGTACAACAACCAAAACTTTGTAATAAATATGGCAACAAAGATGAGGACAATAGTCCAAATAATGTAAATAATGAACTTTTAAATGATATTTGGTGAAAATTATGAACAAGGCCTAATAAATATGTGATGCAGTATCTTTTTATTTTAATGTAATTTATTTTACTGCTTTTTGCTTCTTTAAATAGTATATAATAACTGTGCTTTTGCAGAAATGTAATTTTCTCATAAACATTACCATTGTGGAATAGTTAGAATCAGGAAATGGTTTCCTTTCACAGAAAACAATTCTTTTCACCAAAAACTTATAAATTAACCTAACAAATAACTAAATAGAAAGACTTAAAGATTATGTTTCCATAAACACAAATGTTATTGGGGTGATTAAACATCAGCCTTTATCATAAAAAATCAGATGGGAACTTGGGATTATTCTTGGCAATTTATTAGATTTTATTAGATATTTGCTTATACAGCATTAAATAAAAAATCTTATTATAAAGAGAAATATTATAGATTTTTAATACTAAATTTCATTTCAGTCTGTTATCGGTTTTTAATATATACATCCACAATGAAGCAACAAGATTTCCAGACAACTGAGCTCTTTCTTTTGTCATTTTTCTTCTCTCAACATTTTGAATGATCTATTTGACAGCCTTCTCCTAGTTTAGAAAGATGTAGCATGGACCATCTAAATCATTGCATGAACAACAAAAATCAGAAAAAAAAGAATGAGTTTATTTATCTGAAAATCTCTTTGAAAGATAATGACGTTTCACAAAATTGTAAGCAACAACCATAATGATATTTTTAAAAAATATAAACACTTTTTAAGTAATACTTTCTCATCTGTATTGCTTATTGATTAAATTATTTTCAAATATTTCTTAAGGATATTCATCTTTGCATTACTTGTACATAGTCATTATTTAGGAATGTGTCACTTTTGTTTTGTTTTTTTTCTTGTAGAGTAATCGGCCATGGTTAAGTGTATTTGGCAAAATGCTCAACAAACAGAATTGACAAATTTCTTAACAATAAAAAGGGAACAGGGTAAAATAATACTAAGTAAAAAATATATATGCAGGAGAAAACTAAGCAAAGCAACAGTAATAAGACAAAAGGTTCACAAAGTAAGAATGGTGTTCACATGCAAAAGGGATACAGTCTAGTGACTGTAGTATTCTGATTTCAATACAAGAAAGAACAAAAATATGGTAGATGAGACTGAATTGGTCCATTTTTATTGGTTAGGAAGAAATCACAGCATGCATCTGTATGATTTATCTATAAATTTGAGAGGGAGATGTATTAGTGATCATTCTCCATTTTTCAACCCTGTACCACATTTAATGTATTATTTCATGAATAAATAATCATTCCTAGTCATTTGAAACCAACATGTATGTTGATTACACTCTGATTAACTCTGTTATAAAAATGATCGTCATTTGAGATTTGCTTTTAACATGTACATATACATCTTCAAATTCCAACACAAAATTTAATTTCATAAATTGTTTTGATCTACATAATACATTAAACAAACACTATCTTTTTGCAAAAAAATCATTTATTGCATACTGTTTTCATTATTTGAATCATATTTTCCAAGTAAAGAAACTTTCTTTTGTTTTCCTTCTAGTGTGTTAATCGTCAGGTTTTCAAGGGTATGTTGACAACACTGAAAGCAATGGTGCACGGCCTTGAATATACTTATCAAAATCATGGTCTGGGCGGCATGGCTAGTGCATTTATGGTGCTTGAAATATTGCATACACATTATTGGATTAAGGAAGTTGGTAATAACAGCAATAAGAGTGAGGCTAGTGTCACTCCAGAGGTAAGTGGCATTGTCACATTGTCTTTATTTTATTTTTTAAATAATTTCTTGTTTCATGAGGTAGTCATATTCGAATACTGACATATATAAAACCTGATGTGCTACTATTTTAATATTTATATTGTTTATAATACTTTTCAAATTGTGAGCAGATACTCTACTTTGATCCTAAGAAAAAATGCCAATCTATACATAAATCATCTAATTTTTAAATAGGTACTTGGCCCTGTCGGCGGGGCTTCAGAATACGCCGACTGCACCTCTGCAGGGGGTAAAAGTCCCCCAAGGGGGCCACCTGTTTGCCGTGGGTGGCGACCCGTGATGTTTGGGGACGGGATCCTGGTGGCTGAGCAGGTCATGACCCAGGTGATAAGTGGTCATTAACTGCAACACTCCACTTTGGCCCTTACCTGAGCTAGACGGGCGGTCGGAGAGGCCCACTCCGATCAATCGGCTGGTCATGACAAGCCCTAACACTCAACCCACCCCCAAAAAAAAAAAAAAAAAAAAAACTTGTGTATTAGTATAATTGCCAATTTATCCTCCAAAAAAATGACATTTATTAAAAAAAAAAAAAAAAAAAAATAAATATATATATATATATATATATATATATATATATATATAATAATAATAAACTCCCCACATGAGTGTTGGAAGGTGGTGGCTAAGGGTCAATCGATTCTGAGGAAGAAGGCCACAACATGGCTGCATACACCCGAGAGGCATCACTGGACTTGGCCAGCGAAGCCAAGGGAATGCAGGTGCTTGTGGCTTCCACTGGATACGAGTATACCTTTCCTGTAGCCCTGATGTGCCAGGGCGAATGGGTTTCCCCCCTGGCATCTCCCATAAAATTGGACTCCGAGGTGGGTGGGGAGCAGGAATGGCGAAACAACACCTAAAAAACAAATGTTTCCAAAGAAATCCACCAAGAGACCACATTTTGAAAGCTCTGACAGTGAGCCAGAAATAATATATCAAAACATCCCTACATATATGGTAATCCAATCAACTGAAGATATACCTATAACTAAAATATCACCTTTCAAAATCGAACAAATACTTTCTAAAAAAAATAAAACCAAAAACAACAAAAAATTAACAAACGGAACAATTCTAATCGAAGTTCAAAAAAACACAAGTGGAAGAAATCCTAAGATGGGAAACTTTCAACAACATCAAAATTAAAACCTCCCTCCACCAAACCTTAAATTCATCCAAAGGCGTAGTGAAAAGCTCTGAATTATCACTATGCACATTAGACGAAATAAAAACAAATTTAAAAAACCAAAATGTAATAGATATCAAAAGAATAAGTATAAAAAAAAATGGAGAAACTATAAACACAAACACATACATATTAAATTTTAATATCCCAAAACCCCCAATGAAATTAATGTAGGGTACATAAAAATAAAAAGTTGAGACATACATACCGAATCCACTTAGATGTTTCAACTGTCAGAAGTTTGGACACCACCAAGATAGGTGTACTAGACCCCCAGTATCACGGAAGATACGGTGAAAATAACGCAAGACACACTGACTGTCAGAAGGAGGCAAAATGCACTAACTGCAAAAAAATCACCCATAAAATCCAGAGATTACAAATCTGGAAAAAAAAAAAGGATATTTCCAAAATAAAATATACTCAAAATATTACTTTCCCAGAAGCAAGGAAATTAATAAACACTGTGACATACACAGAAATATCAAAAAGACATATACCAAACCCAAACCAACAAGGACACCAAACATACGAAAATAATCAACCTATAACAAAACCTGAAGTAGTTACTCAACTTATGAACGAGATGAGAACTCTAATCCAAGAAATGAAAACCATTATAAAAACAATCACAGAAAACAAACAACTCTCCAAGGAAAACTCAAACACCAAAACATCAACAAACCAAGAGACACAAGCAAAGCCTAACAAGGAGAACCCAAAAGTACTCTCTTCTGAAGTGGCCTCTACCACTAGGCCATCACAGACTTCACCCAATAGGAAAACTACAAAAAAAAAAAACCCTGATGGGCAGGAGCATAAAAATAGATCAAGATCAACCTCAAGAACAAGAACTGCCCCAAAAATAAATAAATCTGAGGCATTGGAAATAATGGAAACGGAAGATGAGACCCCACAACTAAGCAAAACCCAATCAAGGAAAAAAATCTAACCTCAAAAACAAATCCCATTAAAATTAAAACATGGCTCCACAAGTAATCAAACATCAAAATACCGGAACCATGACTAATAAAATCATCCAATGGAACATAAGAGGTATGAAACCAAACATAAATGAACTACTGCTTTTAATTGGGAACCTATGTCCAATGATAATATGTTTACAGGAGACTTTTCTGAAAGAGAATGACAATGTAAAAAATTCGTAATTTTACCTCATATAACTATATAAATAATAATACAGATAGAGCCTCAGGCGGCACATCCATACTAATTAATAACAAGATCCCTCAACGCAGAATAGATCTTGACACAAATCTTCAAGCTGTAGCTGCATCAGCCACTTTACATTGTACCATAACAGTATGCTCTATATACATACCCCCACATGATCAGGTTATCGACACCGAATTAGAGCAACTGTTGCAGCAACTCCCTAGGCCATTCATTTTATTGGGTGACTTTAACAGTCACAACATCATATGGGGATGCAAAGAAATAAACAAAAAAGGTAAAATCCTGGAAAGGATTGTTAACGAAAACGATCTATGCATACTCAACACGGGCACTCAAACACATATAAACCAATTTAGTGGGAATACCTCTGCCATTGATTTAACCATATGTGACCCATCTATCTATATGGACTACACTTGGCAAGTACATGATGATACTTGTGGTAGTGATCACTTCCCAATACTTCTAAATAACACAAAGCCTAATGGGAAAAAAAATGCCCCGTTGAAACTAGACAAAGCTAACTGGGAAAAATTTGAAGAAAATGCAAAGAAAAACTAATACACAAAGAGTCAAACAATGACACAATAGAGTATTTCACTGAAACACTGAACTCTATAGCAGTAGACAGTGTTCCCAAGACTACAACTCCAAATAAACGAAACAGACCCTGGTTCAACAACAAATGCCAAGAAGCAATTAAACTGCGAAAAAAGAAGCACTAAAAAAAATCCAAAAAGAACCAATATCATCCAATCTGATGGAATACAAATCAAACAGAGCAAAGGCACGAAAAGAGATAAAAGCAGCAAAAAGAGAATGCTGGCAGAATTATGTCAGCAAATTGAATTGCTCAACTAAACCAAAGGCAATTTGGGAAATGATTAAGAAAATTATGGGCAAACAAGAAATAACACCAATAAAACACCTCTCAAAAGACAACTCTATAATAACAGATAAAAAAGCTATAACAGAATTGCTAGCTGAAACCTTTGCCAAAACTCATCCAGTCTGAATGGTACAAAAAGAATTCATAACCATCAAAGAAGATGCAGAAAAATGTAAACTAAATTTTAAATCAAAAAATCTTGAAGATTATAATAGTTTATTGACACTAAGAGAATTGAAAGACTCTATAAAAAAAATCCCATAATTCTGCTGTAGGCCTGGATGAAATCCACTATGAGTTTTTAAAAAATTACCAGAAGAATCACTAAAATTCCTTTTAAAAAATATTTAACAAAATATGGACAGAAGGAAGGTTCCCAGATATATGGAGAGAGACAACAATGATACCAATTCCCAAACCAAAAAGAGATGGCTTGGACCCACAAAAAACTATCGACCTATCTCTTTAACCAGTTGCTTGTGTAAAACAATGGAAAGGATAATAAACAACAGGTTGATTTGGCATTTGGAATCAAACAATCTTATTTCCAACTTACAATGTGGGTTCCGTAGTAAAAGAGGCACAATAGACCACTTAATACGCCTTGAAACAAATATTAGAGAAGCATTTATCAAAAAGGAACACCTTACAGCTATATTTTTCGATCTAGAAAAGGCTTATGATACGACGTGGAAATATGGAGTAATGAGGGACTTGAGTAACCTGGGTATAAAGGGTAGATTGCCACAGTTTATTGATGGATTCTTATCTGAAAGAAAATTCAGAGTTCGTGTCGACTCTACACTTTCAGATGTGAAAAATCAGGAAGAGGGTGTCCCACAAGGCAGTATATTGTCCGTAACACTATTTAACATAAAAATAAACACTATAATCAAGGAAATACCACCAGGAACCGATGGATCACTATATGTGGATGACCTTATGATATGTTATAAATCAAAATATATCCACACAATCGAACGAAAACTGCAACAGGGTCTAAATAAAATCAGCAGATGAGCAACAACAAATGGATTCAAGTTCTCTAAAACAAAAAACAAAATGTGTTCATTTTTGTCACAAAAGGAAACTCCATAATGACCCTAGGCTGAAACTTGACGGTTCAGAGATCCCAGTTGTAGATGAATACAAGTTTCTGGGGGTAATATTTGACAAAAAACTAACATTTATTCCCCACCTGAAATACTTAAAAACCAAATGTAACAAAACATTACAACTACTGCTGTGGTAGCCCACACAAAATGGGGAGCAGATCGAAACACTCTGTTATTATTGTATAGATCCCCAATTAGATCAAAATTGGATTACAGTATTTTTATATACCGTTCAGCCAGAAAATCCTATTTAAAAATGCTTGACCCGATCTACCATGGAGGTTTGAGGTTAGTACTGGAGCCTTTAGAACGTCTCCAGTCGAGAGCCTATATGCTGAGGCTAACGAAGCACCTGCAAATAGTAGAAGCCATAAACTGGCCCTCCAGTACTATGTCAAATTAGGGTCATGCCCAGCAAATCCTGCGTACAATAGTACCTTCTATCCAAAATACAAAGAATTATTCCAAAGGAATGAAAAAGCCATAAAACCCTTTGGACTTCGGATGGAAACAATTATAGAAGAAGCAGATGTAGATTTGACAAAAATCCATAAAACAATCATACCAGATATCCCACCTTGGACCATAAGAACCCCAAACATAAACTTAACCCTCTGTAAATACTTCAAAAATAAAACCCACCCACTAATTTTCCAAGAGGAATTAGAGAAAGTTAAGGAGAGATATCCTAGGCACTCACATGTCTTCACAGATGGATCTAAAGTAGGAAAAATAACAGGATGTGCCGCAATATATAATAGAAAAATATTTAAAAACATCTCCCAAATGACACCTCTATATTCAGTGCAGAAGTTTGCGCAATTAATTATGGCTCTTAACCTCATCTCAGAATCAAGGAACAACAAGTTCATTATCTTTTCTGATTCACTATCAGTATTAGAATCACTAAAAAACAGGAAGTTTGATAATCCATTGATAGTGAAAATACTATGTAAATTAGAACACCTATCAAATGATAATGATATACAGATATGTTGGGTCCCAGGTCACACTGGAATCGGTGGAAATGACCAGGCAGATAAAGCAGCCAGGTCTACTCTAAATATGACCATAGAAAAAAATTTCAAAATACCATATACAGACCTTAAAATGAAGATAAATAAATACATACTGCAACAAAGACAACAACGCTGGAACAGCAATAGTAATAATAAATTACTAAAATTAAACCTGAATTGGGAGAATGGAAACAGAGCTATAGGAAAAATAGAAAAGAGGAAGTGATATTGTCCAGACTTGAATAGGCCATACAAGGACAACACATTCCTACTTACTTGAAGCAAAGCAACAACCAATGTGTTATGCATGCCAGACCGCATACACAGTGAAACACATTCTCATTGAATGTACTGACCTAGCCCATATAAGAGAAACGCTTTATAGTGCAAGTAACATGAAGGAACTGTTCCAAAAACTGACATGGATAACATAATATCGTTCCTGAAAGCAGTCAATTTGTACCAAAAAATCTAAAAACATAAAAAAGTTGGGAGTTTTCTGCAAACTTTTGCTGCAAGGAATGTTTTCAACAAAATCTGATTCTTTCTGCATACCATTTCTCAAAAAGGAAGAAACTTCCTACGATACAATTCTCTACAAAAATTTTTTTGACAGAACCAGATTTTTCTACAAACCATTTCATTTCTAAAAACCTTTTTTCAGCATGGCAAACCTCTCCGTTTGTGGAAATGGAAGGGTCTATTATATTGAAAATAATATTCCAATAATAACCTGATTTGACATTAAATGACTGAGGAGGTCGATATGTCGTAAAACACAAACAAACAAACAAACAAACAAACAAACAAATAAATAGGTACTATCTTGTAATTGAATTTTAAAAAAATATATATACTAGAATAAAGTTGTCTCATTTTGGGTACATAAATCAAATTTTTACATGAAAAAGCTAATAGCTCTTTCATGATGATTATTTAACTATTTGGGACCAGGATATTTTTTCTTTTTTAAGATAAGTAATTTCTATCAAGATTTCTCATCAACCAATTCCATATTGTTTAAAAAAGAAATTAAACATTGTAACTATCTTAAATTTGTCATTAAATTTTTATAGATGAAAGATATTTGAAAACACATAGTAGAATATGTTGTTGATTTTGTTAATATCTTAAATTTTTTGGTTGATATCAAAACATTTACAAAATCTTGATTAGATGAAAAGTATTTTTTCATAATTGTTTCATCATTTATATTTAAGATTAAATTGAGATAATACTTTTGATCATACTTTACATCCTTGTTATTTAGAATTATGAAAAACTGATTGTAATATGTTTTAAAGATACACTTTATACTTAAAGAGAATAGTCTGGAGATTTTTAAAAAAGTGCTCTTTTCATTTTTATTCAACCTCAGTTAAGGTCACAGAATCTACAGTCCTATGACACAGTTAATTGTAAACTCTATAATATTTTCAGAGGTTGTACAGTATGCTCCAGTTTTGAATTCAAAGTTGTCCTTCTCTTAGACAATGGCTATAGAACCTAGTCTACCTTACTGAGACAAATGTTTTTGTGCAAAATTAAATGTAACAAACTCTGCTGGAATTCAAACTCAGTTTGCCAATTCCTCTTTCTGAGCTTTTAACTGTTATAATACCTGCATATTTTAATAAGTCTGTACTGAGTAAGTGCTTGCTTAGTACAGTTGGCTTGTAAATTTTAACACCTCCAAAACAAAACTGCTTTCATTTAACCATCATAGAGTACTTATTCTGCCTGCCATCAGCATGGCTGATGCTACACTCCAGGAGAGCAACACACCATGTCTTCTTGGCCTCACATTTTCCACTGACTTGGAGTGACTATATCAGATCAACAGTTATATCTACTGCAAGCAAAGTTGAGTCACTGTGTTATACAAGAAGATTTTTCTCATCTTGCACATTTACAAATCTACTATTCATTGAATACTGTTGCCATATCTGCTCTGGGGCTCCTGCTGTACACCTTGAGATTCTTGACAAAATCCAAAGAAATGATCTGTAATATAATCGATCCTGATCAGGCATCTTGACTTCAGTCACTTTCACACCAATGTAACATGGCTTCCCTCCATCTTTTCTACAGATATTTTCATGGTAACTACTTTGATGAACTTTTTTTCCTGGTGCCCTGAATGCATGAATTTAAGTTTTCTATTTAATTTCTGGTTAAGTGATAATGACTTATCTGGAACTATTTCAATCAAAACAACAAAAATGAAGATACTTGTCAGAATTCAAGGGCTTTTTTCATTTCTTAAAAATCCTTTTGTGATCAGTACATTTATTTTTTTCCTCTCTCTTTTCTGTTTATAGATCTCATCGCCTTATGGAAGTAGAGAAAGCCTTTCATCGAAAGGTGAGGACTCACCCCAAAATCCTGAGGCCCGAAGCTTGCATGAGGAGCACATGGTGGCTGCCCTTGGTATGCGGCATGCTACTGTTTTACTTGCTCTAGAATGCTTGTAGGCAGCTTTTAAGCACTAACCTTGCCTGAAAGTCTCTTACATGTAGATATAAATTCAGTTTGGAGCTCTTATTGGTTCTTGGTAGCACATTTGACATTTAAATATCTTTATATATTATCTATTTACTATAGTGTCTTGACTTGCTAAAAAAAAACAAGTTTTGTATTTCTTTTACATGCCTTTTCTATTTAAACTCATCTTTTTTTATTTATATCCTTTCATGAATAGCAGTATTAAAAGAAAATTACATGATTTTTTAACAAGTAATTTGTGTATAAGTTATACCACCTGTTTTATCCACTTGAGAATTGGTTTGGCTTCTGGTTTCATATGCTAAATATCAGTGAATCTAAGTTAATTAGTAACAATTATTGGATGATGGATAACCAGGTATAGCTGACTGTAAATAACTGCATAAAACACAAAATCTTCCTAAGAAAAGAAACTATTGACAATATGCCATCATTTTTTTTTTTTAGTTACAACAAAATATTGGGGTTTTTTTTTACATTTCTTTTTCATTATATTTCTTGTTTTTTATGTATTTTAGTAATTAACTGATTGAAATTTGCTCATTTTTATTTATTTTGGAAAAATTTAAATGTGAAAATTCATTGATAACCTTGAGTAAATCATAAAAATTAATGTCATTTTCAAATTTAAGAAATATTTTAAAGAGTAAATTCAGTAGCATAATTACAGTAATATAAATTTAAATAAAGAATTTATCTCCTTAAAATTTATTCTATAAAATATTTGAATATGATCAAAGTTATTCTAAGGGATGTAAATTTAAATTTTCTTTTTCAAATCAGACTTCCTCTGTGCAGTGGGTTACAGCTTGCCTTAAACTGATAACTGCAGATTATGGGAATTTCTATGTATGGCTCAATTGTGAATGAAAGAAATTTCTGTCACAATAGATTGAGAATTTATGAATCTGTTCAAATGTAAATAAGATTATTTTTTATCTTTACAAAAATTATTTTTGTAGTGAGCCTCCGTAATTTTCTCTAACAAAACTTTTAAACAAATTTCTACTTGATATGATCAATATCAGAATTAGAAATGGAAGTTGAACAAGAAAATAGTTTACTGCAAACATTTTTTTCTGTTCTAATTTATGTAAATTATTTTATTCATCTTGAAAATTGTAAACGTTTTCTTTGAAAGAGAAAACTTATTGTTAAGGTAGTGTTGTTGATACATCATAACAGATTAACTGTGGATTGAAAAGGTTGAACATCTTTTTAAATAACTAATTAAAAACTGAAGATTGATCTTAAATGAAATTAGACGTTTTTATTTTATTTCTATTTATTCTTTTAATATAAAATCAAGATAAATATAACTTATACACAGTGCCAGCTTTGAACCTTAACAGGCTCTTGGGCTAATAAAAATTGGGAGCCCCTTCATTATGTATCTTCACCCCCCACCCCCCACCTCATGTCTATGAAAAGATATTTTTAGATGAAGCTATATCAAAAATCTATATGAATATAAAAAAGATCTGTCACATCGAATTTAAAAGACTCACTCCAACTAGAGGAGCCCAAATACTCTAAATTGTTTCAAATTAGTTCAAAGGAACCTCATTAAATTAGAAAATAAGCAAATCTCCTCTGTTATATCTTTATTATTTTTACTTTTATCAGGTGCCCAACACTAAGGGGCTGTTGGAGATTTGGAACTTGGAACATACTAAAGCCCATATGTAAATCTAGCACTGCCTGTACATTTATCAGAAAAGTTTTAAATTGTATTTTCCACCAGTATATGACAAATTATGACATCATTTTCTGATATTTTCTTATCTTTTACCTCAATTTAAGGCTCATATTTTCATCTTCACTCTGTCCTTTATGAGATATAATCTTAATAATAAGCTATTAAGATATACAAGATAGATTTATCTGTATTTCTAATGAAACAACAATTAGAAATGTCTTTCATTTCTTGAATATCTTCAGCAATCCTTCAAAAACTTAAAGTAGATTTAATTTTTGATATTAAATATATATTGACTCCCAAGTACCAAGAATTATGCAGGCTCCAAATGTTGATATTTAGTTTTTATTTTGTAAGACAGATGAAATATATTTACATATGTATATAGTTTAAAATGCACTATATTTATGGTAGAAAGAGTGATCAAGATTGGAGAGTATTTGCAGACATAAATAGATTAGACATAGAAATCAATACTATATGGTGACTGACAATTTCTTGCCTCAAGCATAGTCTCAAGATCAATTTGAAACATGGAATTGGCAGTCATGATACAGTGTTGATATCTATATCCCCCCCACACACACACACATATATATATATATATATATGAAATTTTAATATATCAAGAACAATATTGGGGGAAAAATGTGTGACACGTTTCATCCTTTAGGACTTCATTGGACTAAATTTGTTACAATGGTGCAACTACACATGACCATAAATGAGGGATGCTGGGAATTTTAAATTTCAATTTTTTTTAATATATAATCTAGTCGAATTCACTAAGATGAAAATGTTTAGAGAGTGCCTTGATTGCAAAGCCATCCACAGTAAATTTGCACCCTGGCTCTTACATCATTTCACCATTCTTGGCAGATCTTCTATTATCACAATGTGGAATATCTATTAACAAAAGTGATGGAAAGAAAAAGAATCTACATGAAATTGGCTAGATTATATACCAAAAAAAAAAAAATTAATTTAAAATTCCTAGCATTTGTTCACATGTTTAGTCACACCAACATAAGAAATTTAGTCCAATGAAGTCATTTGTCAAACATTTTTCTCCCATATATAGGTGAGTCAGAAAGTAATGCAATTTGTTTTATTATATAAGAAATAAGGAAAACAATCATATAACAATCATATTGTACATCAAGATATAACTATGCATCACAAGTTCACATCCCTAATTCTCAACATAGTCACCACCATTTGCAATAGTAGTATTCCAGCTTTGTAAAACTCAACTAGCTGCTGATGTAGAAAATTACTTACAGCACCTTTCAGTTTTTAATCATTATCATAATGTTTGCCACTCAGTGCCTCTTTCATTGGATCAAAGAGATGGAAGTCTTTTCTGAATGTTTACAGGAGTTCCTCTTTCAGCAACGAAGAACTTGATCACTGCTCTTTGCTTCTGACAGACTTCCAGCAGGGCAACCATTTTCATATCATCTCATTTATTCATATATCTGAAAAAATTAGATAATTACAGATCAAGAGTGTATGTCCCTTGGCATTTATACCAATTTTCAAATAACTTCATTGGGAAATATGCCTCCTATGACAAAAATTGTATTACTTTTTGACTCACCCTTGTATATAAATGCAGCAATTATTGCTGACAATATATTTATTAGAAGATAGCAGTAACTGTTTTTCCCTTCTGTCATTGTTTTTATTAGGTTTAGGCATGGATGTCTAAAAGTTTAATTAAAACTGTAATTCTAAAATAATGATTATCCTACATTAAATTGCTAAGCTATGAAGATTCTTTGATGTTAAAATAATGCAGTTTTTACTATTCAGATCCATTTATGTGATGAAAGTAAAAGCAAAATTTGTGAATTACTTTCTGATCAATCTAGTCTACAATTTTAAAGTTATATCAAACACATTTTAACAAAATGTTCTTTTCTCAAGCATTTATTTTTTTGTAAATCTCTAAATAGCTGAGTAATTTACTTTTTTCCACCGTGAAACATCTCATTGCTGCCAGAAACCAACAGGAGCTCTTTATCATGTCATTAACCATTGCATTATATTCCAAACTTGTTCCTCTATTTTAGTTTCTGTATTGTTCTCTTTACTTCTGTTTCTATCTCACAGTGTGTGTATATATATATATATATATATATATATATATATAATTTGAATCTTTATCACTTTCATTTATTAATTAGATGTTGTCACAAGTTTTACTGAAATTGTCTTTACTGGACATTGCAACAAACATTTTAAAATAGAAAGCACAGTTTATAGTGAGATGATATGATAATCTCTTTCCAACAGTAGTCATTTAGATATTTTTAATGGTAATAAAATATTATTGTCCTATTTAAAAAAGCATTAATTAAATACACAAATGAAAAAAATATAATCTTTTTTTTTTTTTTTTTTTTTTTTTTTTGGCATATATTTGCTTTAGAAAGTCACTACATATAATGATCAGATGTTTATAGAAACAATATATGAACAAGCTCTGAGAAAAATTTCTCCAGCTTAAAAACCGTTTTTAATGATTTGACTTTCTAAAAAAATTGTGCTTGTAGAATTGCTTTAAAGTTAAATTCTCTGTTAGTTTTCTTTGATTTATTGTCTTTTTTACCTTTTTATGAGCTTTTTTCTTAACAAACTAGTTGTCAGTGCTGTAGCAAATATACATTTTCAAGTAAAACTCTCAAAGAGACATGATTATTGTTTCTTTACTTCTGCCTACTGATACTAAAATGAGTCTTGATTTATTGCTGAGTTTTGTATTCATTTACATATGTAAACTCTGTGTCATAAATAATCTAGCATTACATATTTTTTAACCATTTCTCTGAAATCATGTATGGAATTAAATCCATGGATTTCTGGAGCAAGCAGACAGCCCCTTGCTTCTTTTTAATTATATAAATCTTGGATATTCCTTTGGGGAGAGGGTGCAGGCATAAATTTCACTACAAATGTCATAGATTTTATAAAACAGAATGCATGAATTGATGAACCAATTTCCATCTTTGTTTATGGTGATTGGTCTTTCTTTTCTCAATTATATCCATGCAAAAGCATGAATACAATCCTCTTTATTTTTCCTATTACTATCACTTTCACTACTGTTTTGTCATCAAAATATCATAAATATAAACAAAAATGTGAGTGGTGCCATACAACTCTCTTTTTTGTAAAAGAAATACATCAACTTTAAACTTCCAACATAAGAATTGACTTACAC